AAAAAAATATTGTAAAAACAATATAGACATTACACCATCTCTTTATGTATAAATATAAAAGTGTCGGTGCAAAATAATTTCCACTTTTGTAGTAATTTACCTTCCTACCAACTTAAATTAAATATTATTCTTTTTAAATAAAACATTTTTAACGGTTTAATCGCGAAAAGTCCTCGTTACTTATTTACAAGGCATATTAACTACGGCCCGATAATTCCAGCAGCTTGTAGCAGCCGTGGCCACGTAGAGAAACATTCGAAACGTCAACTGATAAATATCGCGTTTTAACCCGTTAAAAGTGTTTTATTTAAATGTAAAATACAAATTTAACTAATTTAATCATTCAGATAAAGGTAGCGTACGTGTAGTCCGGAGGTCCTAGTTTTGAGTTTACAATTACTCAAAGTACCCCCTCAAAATCTTAAGGTCAGTATCGATATAGTACCTTCCTTGATTATATATCTCCTTCTACATACCAGATAATACCTTGGGCGATGGCGTTGTAACAAACAAGTCTAGCCCCTCTTGTCTCGAATGAGCGCAGATTACTGCGAGGGATTAAGTGTTGGTGCGATACTAACCAAGGAGATTTGCAATCGAACGGAGATCTCTCCATACACGCTTTGTTATCGCCTCCCTATAGCCTAATGTATGCACTAAGAGCCCCTTTCATATATAATATGCTGTGTGTCTCAATTACTCGTGTAAAACGTGAAAGTTGGACTCGTGATAACAGAAGACAGTATTTTTAAAGAAATTGCTTTTAAACTTTTGTGACATTTTTAAATTTTAATGGTAGTAACGTATGGCTAATAATCAACTGGTCTCGGGTGTGACTGGATGGTTTTGGGACATATTGGGCTTTGTCTGGAAATCTGGATATTAAATGGGAATATCGAAATGTACTAACAGATGAAAAGGCCGTGAAGTTCATTCGCGTTTGGAGTTATTCGGGTATCACCTTCCATTTAAGGTGTTTATTTGTAAAAATGTATTATTAAAAATATTTCTAGTAAATAAAACGTATGTGCATTGACGACATTAACAAAATTTACCAAACTTAATCAAAACCAGAACAAACAGCTTCTAGAACTTACCTACGTCCTGAGAAATTTCTACACCTTCCCACACACAGGTGGGGGTTGAAAAAAGAAAAAAAAAAAACCCCCCCCCCCCCGGGGGGGATTTCCCCCCACCACAAAATTAAAAAAAAAAAAACCCCGGGGGGGGGGGGGGGCCCCCCCCCCCCCCGGAAAAAAAGGGGCCCCCCAAAAAAAAAAAAAAAAGGAAAAAAAGGCCCCCGGGGGGGGGGGGGGGGGGGGGGGGGGTGCCCCCCCCCCCCCCCCCCCCCCCCCCCCCCCCTTTGGGGGGGGGGGGGGGGGGGGGGGGGGGGGGTTTTTTTTTTTTTTTTGGGGCCTTTCTTGGGGGCACGGGAAAACCCCCCAAGAAAAAAAGATTTTTCATTTTTTTGACACGCTTCGTCTTTCGTCACAACTGACAAAAACCTTGTTGCACTCTTAAAACTTTGTATTAATCTATTCGAGTTTTTTACATGAACCAACCTATTATAATATAATGTTCAGATTATAGTAGTTTGCAATCTCCTTAGTGGTTCATTTCAAAACGAGGGTAGGCATAGTGTCTATGAACTTTATCAAATGCAAATCTGTATGATCTATTTTCCAAGAAGTCTTCAGTAATGGTAGTAAATACACGATTTGTTCGGGCGATAGGTTAATTCCCCGAATTTCTCGTTTAGCGTTAACTATTTACTCGGTTACAGTACACTAGTAGCGTAATAGTTTGGTAATACTTAGTAAGCCACAAATGAATAGAACTAGAGATTGCTAGAACTAGACAGTTGCTTACTTCGTGTTTAATTAAATTTTCAAAGACCTATACGCGAATTTTCCGGAATATTGCCGTGAAAGAACAGTTGTACAAATGAAAATCTAGATTTTGTTAGCGCTTTGGTTCTATAACTTCAATCTAAACACAACATTAGATACCTAGTTTTTATTAAAATACTAGTTCTAATTGGATTTAGGTAACACTCAAAATGACTAATCTCCAACCTACTTGCTGCGAAAACAAAATAGGAAAGACCCTAATCATAATTAACCAAGTCTCAGTTAGGTAATACGATTATTTTAAAAAACGGGTTTTCACTACCGTCATTAACAAAATATATATTCTTTCTCAGGCCACCCTATTCTATATGATTTTTAGTATTCCAAATACCGAATATATTTTTATATCAATTCATATACCTACCAGTGTACTTCCAGAAGTCAAAACTTTACAAAATCAGTATGCGGTTTTCTCTAATATTTGTCACAAAATGGCGTTACATAAATTAAATCTATTCAGATTAAAAAAAAATCAACATGGGCGGGATTCGAAACGGCATCCACAGCGTTCCGTGCTCTAACCAAAATATATAATGGAATCTAAATATTTTTTTAATTTACACGGCTTTAACTAATTTTCAGGATAACGTATGGATGTATGGATATGTCATTAATGATTATTAAATTAATAATGATAATGATATCTGGTACAAGGTATGTAATGACAGACTTCCGTAATGGAACACTAATGAAGACCTCGTCAAATCTACATGTACATACAAGTCGTGTATTGTGAACACCCTCGGGACATTGGGTGGTTCTCCGCATAACGGTGGTAATTAAGGCCAATTAGTACTGGCAACACAGGCAGTAACGTCAAATAATATGTCATTTAGGCGGGACAGGATATGTGGATGGTGTATGAAAATCATGGCTGCCCTGTTACCATAGATTAGGGTTTTTTAGTAATTTTAGTAAGAATTGTCTGTCGTTTACGCAAATAGTACTTATTTAAATAAAACCTTTTAAGCGCAAAATTTATTAGTTAACTTTGCAACAGTGGTAGTCACGCGGGGATATAATTGTAAATAAGTTTACTATGACGCTTTTTAACGACTAAAAGTGTTTTGTTTATTTTTAGTACTTTGTATGAACACATTCCGAATATCCAAAGCTAAATGATCGACAGCGTACTGTGTTTAGATGATGATTGGGATGGCTGGGGTATTTACACCTACCTCAAGGAACCCCACGCTTTTCTGTCCCGACCTACATAAAAAAATATTATATAGCTTTTTCCACATAAACACTATCATTTAAAACGTCATAATTAAGTACATGGAATAAAAAATATAATTAAATTCTTTTCCCATCATAGATTAAGAAAAGTTGTATAATTTCCTCCTAGTTTTGCTGAGCTCGTTAGGCAAGATTTGTATTCAAGTGGGGACGGCGAGCCAGTCCGAAGAATATGGGTCCCTAGACGTCTAATGCGACAGTATTACGGACCTTTTCAAGGATTAGCTAAACAAATCCAACCCAGTGATTCTATTAATATTAGCATACCCGTTTTCTGTTTATTAAATTCACGCTTTAAGGATGACCAGCTAAATATTTATTTAATAGCATATTATAAATATATAGACTATTGTAAAAAAACAAGGATAGAGTAATAATTTTTATCTTTATCGTCCTAGTCCGTTTTCAATCGTACCAAACAATACAATTAATTTTTAAATAAAACACTTTAACGGTTTAAAACGCGATATATTTTTGTTAAACTTTTTTGAGAATCATTTTTAACTACGGCCCGACGTTTCACCGTGACCACGGCTGCTGCAAAGCATCCGAAACGTTTTCCAAAAGATTGTGGTGGGGTGTTGTCTCAACTGTGGCCAGGGCAACACTACATCTATAGGTATATCTTCTAAGCATAAATTGGATAATTAAAAACTAAGCCATTTGAATATAGAAATGGTTTTCTATATGCAACTCGCTTCTCAAAGTATTCATACAACGTAGCGTTTTAGGATAACACTAATATTAAGACCAGTGGCGTAGTTATCGTAGGGCCAGGTGGTGCAGTGGAACAGGGCCCCGAAACTTAGGGGCCCTCTAACCTTACTTTGAGAAGATAAAAGCGTAGAATAAAATTATTTTTAACGTTCTTGTTGCTATTTATAATGTTGGAGGTTCATTAAATTCAAGTTATGCTAAAAGATGGGATGAGGACCCGATTCTTTCTTGAGCCTTAGGTTTAGGTAGACCGGGGCCCTTGTCCACCTAGCTACGCTACTGATTAAGACTGGCTATATCGCCAAGTAATTCTGCATTTAAAAGATCTGTGAAGCATTAAAAACCCTACCTAAGACCCTCATTAACATTTAAAGTGCGGCAAACGTTGAAACGCGATAAGAGATTATGCAAATTCAGATCAAATTGTTAGTGGACGAGGATTTTCATTACTAAACTTGGGGGTAATTAAATTATGACCGCTTTCTACAGTATCTTAGAACGACATATATCCTCTGAATTTGTATATTAAAATATTTGCTCACAACAATGTCTGTCTAATGGACCTCCATTTAAATAAGTAGCAAAAAAATACCCAATAACCACCGGCAGTTTATACGGCAGGGCGAAACAAATATCTGTGTACGCGACTCCTGCACATAAAGTATATATTCTTTCAATTCTTAATAAGGTTAAAATATTGTGGAGTTTTTTTCTATAAAACACATTTAACGGTTTAAAACGCGAAATGTTTTAGTTATTTACATTTTATTTTAATTAAGTACTGCCTGACGTTTCGTCCCACGGTGACAACCTCTCCTGCAAAGCGTCCGTAACACGGGCCGTAGTAGTAATCAATTTTATATAAGTTAATTAATACATTTTGCATTTTATACAGTTAAAATTGTTTTTTTCAATGTTTGGGCGTAAACTTTAGACATTTTTGTTTTTAAATAAAGGAAAACTATTTTAAATATAAAGGTTTATTCATTATAAAACAACAACGGCAAATAAATATTCGAATAAACAAAGCTAAGTTTGATTCTATCAGTGCTTAAATATGATTTCTTTTAACAACTTTACATAGCAACTTTTTATAAGATTTGGAAAATCTATTTTTTTATTAGGAATGCCATTTTATTCAGTTTTATCTTCGCCAGGTGCACCCACTAAATACCACCTGGTGCGTGCGCGGACCGCCATATTGCGTACGAGACGCTTTTTGTCGTCGAGAGATGGCGCTAAATCAAATAACAGATCCGTTTTATATGGCAACAATAATGCTGTTTTATACGCGTTAGCTATTTCGTACAGACATTGTAGACTTTTTATTCGGACATCCTGCAATATAAATAAATATTTTTTTAACTTCTTACGTCATAGAATAACACGTACATATACAATAAACATGTATAAATTCGTACCATAGATTTGACATATTCCGATAGCTTCACCAGCCTCGGCAATATAGTCTGGAAACTCTGCGCCACAAGCAGGTTTTTCATTAGCACGAAATGTGTGAGAACATCAATCATAACAACGAGCAAATCCTTGTTATCATATTCCAGAGCATCAACAAGTAGGGGCATAATCTAAAAAAAAAATACAGACACCATAACGAATATCGCGTCTCTAGTAGTCGCAATTTGAAACAATAATTGAGATTTATCAAAACATTCTTTGTGAGGAAACGAACTATGTTAATACATACTACCTAACAGATACTTAATTATTAATAATCGTTTTATCAAGTCCAAAAAAGCAAGAGACACCAACCTCTCATTAATAAAGTTCATAATAACATCAAAATCAAGACAAAAATCATTATCTATATCACAAAACTTCAATTTTTAAATATCGCACGCTTAGTATTAGAGTGACCTAACTCAAAATTTAAGTAAAATGAGATAAATGCACTGACATTACTATAATAACGCCATCTATGAAATGACTGCGAGAAACTCATCAAAAAACAGCGTTTTCCTGCTCTTACAGTTCTTAGGTCTCTTTCAAATTTACGAATTTTATGACGTTGATTGACATAACACCGACTCATTAAGTGTTCGTTCAATCGTTACAAGAATAACAATTAGTGTGTTTAACATAAAAGGGACCCATCAGTTTTTAAGGCCTTTTTATATCGAAATGAAAGGTAAGTTTTATACATATTTTTGGTTTTATTTTGACTCTTTACACAACGAGGCATTCTAATCCTAAAATTTAGATACATTTAACCGGACTATTTAATTTTAGGTCTGTTTAAAACTACAAAATAATAACAGTTCGTGATCACATTAATGTTTAAGTCAGTTTAAAAGTAAATATATTGTCAATGTTTTTTTTGCTACTGTCATAGTTTATCGATAAGTCCATTTAATACTATTACTAGTTAACTTGCTGATAACACTGGATAGCAAACTCAATTTTAGCACTCATATCAGAAGCAGTTGCGCAAAGGCAAAGGCCGCAATGTTACAATGCAAAAGTGCTATAGGTCGAACATGGGGATTGAAGCCAAATGTCGTCGCCTGGATATACAGGGCGATAATATTACCCAGAATCACCCATGGCGCAATAGTATGGTGGCATAAGGCCTCGCTAAAGTCCAATAAAATAGAACTAGACAAAGTGCAGCGATTGGCCGCATTGATGATCACGGGTGCAATGAGGACGACTCCAACAGCGGCGCTTGAGATCATCCTTGGACTAATGCCACTAGATCTAGAAATAAAAAGGAAAGCTACGGAAACGTGGTTCAGGTTAAAAAGCGCAGACCTATGGAAAGGAAATATCATGGACACAGGTCATGCTAGCATAGGTAAAGTAAATGACAAGAACATGTCAATGATCCTTGCAAACAATGATCTCATACGTAAGGAAAGGATTTTTGACAAGAGATACAGAATCCACATTGGGGAAAGGCAGAAGTGGAGTATAGACTCGGAAAATGTGGGCACGGTGTGCTACACAGACGGTTCCAGGAAAGAAACGACAAAGCTCTCTGGGTCAGGCATATATATGAGATGCGAGGACGGAACAGAGATAACAAGATCAATCCCTCTGGGGAAACTTGTTAGCGTATTCCAGGCGGAGTTATTCGCCATCATGGAATGTGCAGAGATTGCCAGGCACTTAAGACCCCTGTCAAGTGTTACTATTTACAGTGACAGTCAGGCGGCACTTAAAGCGCTATGCAAAGAAGAGACAACATCTGCTATTGTCAAAGAATGCAAGAAAGCACTGCACAAACTAACTGATCAGGTAGAAGTGGCAATTGCCTGGGTCCCCGGACACCAAGGAAATATTGGCAATGAGAGAGCGGACGAACTCGCTCGCGAAGGAGCCGATGAAAGCTTGATTGGGCCGGAACCGAGACTTCCGATAGCCCATAAAGTAACCAAGGGAATAATCGAGCGCAGAATCATAGAAGAAACAAACCAAAGATGGAAATCTTCGACTGGAATGAGACAGTCGAAGATATTCATACATAGCCTAGACAAAAAGAAGACCAAAAACCTGATGAGATTAACGAGAGCGAACATCCGACTCATTGTAGAGATCATTACAGGACATTGCCGTCTAAACAGACATCTTACAATGATAGGAATAGGCAGCGACCCCCTATGTCCGGAGTGCAGAGAAAGTGAGGAAACAAGCATCCATCTACTCACTGAATGCTCTGCATACTCGAGGCTGAGACAAACACATATGGGTTCGGACGAAGTTACAGAAGATGAGATCAAAGAATTACAGATGGAAAAAATTATAAGATTCTGCAAGCAAACCGGAAGGTTTGAAGGGGACACGGGGAGAGTTGGATGACCCAAAACCTCCACAAGGTGGAAATGGGGAAATGGGTGAAATGGTCAGCTGATAGTGTGGACTGATCACCCGTCCTACCACAGGTGTCCCCGAAAGAAAATAATAATAATAATAACTTGCTGATGGTCAATTTAGTAATGGGTCTGTGTTTCATTAAAAATATTATATATTTTTGCCTGTAATATTTATAGTGCGTTAGTTTTCAGTAATATGACTTATTAAAACTAAAATGGCCGTAAAAAATCTCTTTTACTTTAAGACTTATTTGTATCTCTTTTTTACAATGGCTTCTGTGCGATCAAAAAAAAATACGGATTTTGTTTATAATGAAGATAATAGCAGTCCTCCTCATAAAGAACCTAACCAGGTATGTAATAATTATATTGAAGGTACTTTATCTGCAGTTGCCTGTTTTTTTTTACTTACCTTTTAATCAATTTTGTTTGCAGGAAAATACTGTATCTAATAATAATAATAAAAGTATTGATGTCAAGGTAACTAAATATATATTATTTTTGTATTAATTTATTACTGACTGTAATTTTCATTCATTAATTTTTGTGTTTACTTGTAGCTGTTATTAGAAAAAAAGCAGAAAATCGTCGGTATTTGAATGCACAAAAAGATTTTAAAGATACTGAAGATAATTCTAATCTTCCTTCAAAAGGTCCTGGTCATCTAACCAGGTATTGAAATCACTAAATTGAATATAGTTAATCTGCGGTTCCTTGAAAATTATTTTATTATGGCGGAAGGTTGTTACAATATTATCTCTATTTATTGATCCTGAGCTTAATGGAATGTCTTTCGTTTTTACTTAAAATTTGCATGCTGCTTAAAAGTACCGGAAAATGCTGAAGGCCGCGTAAGAACACCTATAAATTAGCGTATTCCGCCCATCAATGCTGAAAATAGTGACGCAGATTTAAGTGATGGTGATCCTACTTTTAATGTTCAAGAAGATAATAGAAGGGTTCATAAGTTGCTATTTCCCCCTATTCACAATTCTAGTTCTAGTAGTAGTAGCTCTTCTTCTTCGAGCTCAAGTTCTCGTCATCTGACAGCTCTAGTGATGAATATGTGGAAGAATATAATGCAACAAGAACAGGAATCAACTTCAGCAGCGGTTTCCGTAAGTGATGAATTAAATGGAGTTGTTACTGTGGCAAAAGGTAGAAAGCGCACTAGACAACCGGAAAACTGGAAACAAATGAAGGCCAAAAAGTGAACGAATTCGGGAAAACTTCTATGAATAGCAAAAATGCAATAATTGAAGCATCATATTTAACCACCTTGTATTGATAAATGTAGATAGCGGTGTCCTACCAAAATTGATTCTATGCATAGGCAACGTATTTTCGATGCATATTGTAAAATAGGAAATATTCATAATCAACAATCTTTTATTTTGTCATGCTTAACCGATGTTACACCCAAATATATAAAGTAAGAAGGAATTACCCATCTTCTTTTTTTATTAAAGAATCATACAACCAGCAAAATTTACTGAAGTATGTACGAAACAGACGAACTAAAATGTTACCTTTAGAGCAATTAGCACTAGTTCAGGCTTACAGGAATACAAGTGCTGAGCGAGAATAAAAAAAAATATTTGCGCGAGTTAATTGCAAAAATTTGATACCAAATTTTTATTCCGATTTTTATGATTCTATATTAGATGCTAAATAATAGATTCAAAAGCGGTCTTCGATGTCTTGTGGAGGACTTTTACAAACGAATTATGTATGATTATGATGAGGAGCACTTTTTCATCTTTTCTTTTACTTGTCTACTATGATTATCACTACGACTGAGATGGTTGAATAATTTCTTAAGAAGTTAACCGAAAGAAAGAAGTTAGGTTAGGTAAGATATTTTTGTTTTGTTATTTATATTTTTATGCTTGTATCTTTGATAAGCCTCAAGTTATTGTCCTACAGAGATTCCTATTTTTGGGGTTCCTTTTAATCCTTAAATATTATGTAGCTATGACTAAGACACGTAGAGGTGCAAGTTTTGTAACCTGTCGTGTACCTACCTGTTTACTAACATTTCATAAGAAATAAGAGTGACTGATAATTTTTTTTTTGTATTTATTGTCTCATAAGCTTTTTAGTTACCAGAAAACCAGCGCTATGGTACTAAAAGTTCAAGTAAATAATTAGTTCCATTATTTAGTTTGAAAATGTTTTTAGTAATTATGTACCTTAGATAGTTAATAAAATAAACCAATTAGAAAAATTGTGAGACTGATTCTTAACCTACCTATTAGTTTCTAGAAATAAACCTTAGTTATTTTATTTGTTGGAAAATAATGTTCTCGTTAGATAAATATGAATGATTGTTTTTTAATTAAATTCGTTAATTAACAATAGTATGCGCTAGTTTTTTAAGATTTAACACAACAAATATTGTTCAGAGATGTTGATTTAACTTTTAATTAAAAAAGACTGAACTAAAAATAACGTTTTAATTTTAGTAACAAATGGACCTAAGTAATAAAATATACAGCCTAATTGTATTATGTTTTTTGTATGAGAATGACTTATTATTATGAAAAAAGACCGAAGGCAAAAACGTCGTTGTTATGTTTAATTGTAAATAGACTTAAACCTAAGTTGTACAGTCAAGTAGTTTATGTTTTTTCTATTAGAATGACTTAAAATAAATTAGGTCTGTATACTCTTTATCAAATTTTCCATTAATTAATTTTAAAAAGACCTAAACCTGCAAGACCAATTTTAAAAGCCTATAGTGTTCAAAATAAATAAAATATAACAAAAATTTCAACTTCACCTAAAGCTTTGATGTATATACTGTAACAAAAATTAAACTTACATTGTACAACTTAGGTAATTATGAATTTATAGAGAATTTAACAGGACAAGTCGCTATTGCAAATAGTTTTATGCGATTTGCCAAAAAAAGTGTTTTTTTTAATTCGGTCACTGTAATACTAAGCGTGCGATATATGCTAACAACTAAAGCTGAGGGCTTACCAAATTCTATCTCATACATTTATGTATTATAACCAAACCAACTTACTTGAGCTGCTTCAATATTAAGTACAGTTTTAGGTGCTTTCTCCAACACATATGCCCAACTCAACAAATATGCTTCTTTAGTTTCTCCATCAAACGGTCCTAATTTACTGGACATAGTCACAAAGGCCTGGAATATTCTCTGCTTGTAGAGTATACTTGTGCGACAATGTAACCTTGAGTTTAGTGAGTCAGGTTGATCTGTCATTATGAGACGGATTGCTTCGGAACCATCCTTGCAGCATTCTGGATTTGTTATTGTTAGTAGAATCTGTAATCAAACGTGCACAGTTGTTCTAAAAAGAAGTCCTTATTATTACAAACAATAATGATTTTCACACCTTGTTTAGTATAGGCAAGTTAGTGTTTAGTTGAAAATCATATTAATAGTCAACAACGTACGGTATTAGTAGCACATTTATTAATGTAAAATGGGATTCAATAGTGGGAGTTTTTCTATAATTACCTTTTGCAGCCAAAATGTAAACACATCACTGCCTCTCAGTATTAAAGCCTTCACTATCCACCCATACAAGTGAATCAGAGGGGAGCAGATATCCTCGTTGTCTTTACTACATGATGCTAAATAATTCTTCAACAATTCATACAACATTTCAAACGTTTGACCAAACTCCGCTTTATTTAAGATGTGTGCCACCAAACAACAAGCTCTAGTCCTTACAAACACACTTTTACTAGTAAGAGCATTTTTCAATGATAATTTTAATATATCATCAAATGTTGGGTCATTGATGTTTTGATGTAGTGATCTATACAAACACTCTAATAAAGGGAAATACACATCTTCACTTTGACATTTTTCAATTATATTTGGACTATGCCTTGCAAGGATTAAAATTTGCTTATCGCCTGGCAAACTACATACTGTATTGGATATTAATGTGTATCCGTGTAACAAAGATTCCTCGGATGCTGATTTTATTTCTTTGAACAACCAACTAAGTATAGAATCTATTAGGCCATGGTCACTTTCTATTTGGGTAACTTTTTCCTCTGTGTATAAACTTGCATTAGATAATGAAGTATTCAAAGCTTCGACAATGTTATATGCATTCTTTTCATCTAAAGTTATAATTTTCAGCATCTCTTCAAGTATAACTTTAGTAAAATCATCTATACTTGCTAAGTTTGATAACAAATTGAGACGCTTTTGTAAATTAGTTTTATCACTCATAATGTTATCCATGTTACATTTTCCTTTTACAACTAAATCCATTATTAGTTCAGGGTATTTCCTTGCTATTGCATTGGTTGTGCCAATACTAATAAGCAGAAGATCGTCGTCTTCCGAATGTTGTACTATATGTATCAAAATCTCAACAAATGGCAACACTAAATCTGGTTTAAGAGCATGTATAGTTTTTATTACTGTTTTGAAGCCAGCCATTTGGTGCTCTTTTGTTGGTTCACTAACAGATGTGAGACAGAGGGGTATAATTTCATTTGCCTGTTTTTCTAAATCATTTAACACGTCCCAATGTTTTGCCAGATCATAGAGGTCGCCTATAAATTCTAAACTAGCCACCTGTAACTTTGCAGATGTTTTGAATTCATAATATGAAATTATAGCTGGAATCATAGATCGTGCCACTATTATGCATGATTCTTTGGAGCTATTTGCTACTGACAGTAAAACTCGCGTGGCATGAACAAACTGCGCGACAGTCGTTGACTCGGCAACCGATGTTTGCATGGAAATGATTATACCCTTGACAAAATTTTCAAATGACTGGTCTGTATTATGAGAAGTGGCTAAATTCGCTACAAGTGCTGATAGTGCTTCATGAGCTGCCATTTTTATTTCTTCATCAGTTTTATGTGAAATTTCTCTGTAAATTGATGACCAAAGCGCTTTTAAGAATGGTGAATAGGTTTCTGGTTTGAATTTCTTACAGCTTTCAGTCTGAAATACATAAGATTTTTTCTATACTAAACTTACATTTCTACACAAATTTATATACTGTTGTATATTAATTTGTATTGTATCCCTTTATTCAATTTCTACTCTTCTGGGGCAATAAACAACATTAAGTTTAACAATATTTTACCAAATAAGCTGAAAAATTTACCAAATAATTAAATTGATGTCATATATGTATCATATTCAAACAATAGAATTTACCAGTAATCTTAAAGAATCCAGTTTTGCAACTCTCAAACTGGAATCCAATTTTTCGATCAGTAATACCAAGCACTGTTCACCAAATTCCTGAGCACCACATAGACATGGACATAGGGCTTTGGCCAGATCATCCCTTGAAACAGCAGCGGGGTCATCAGGTGACGGGTGAAAATCCACTGGATAGTAGCATGAGATTACTTCGAACATTTCGTCAACTAAATGCCCAAGTGGAATGTGTGCCAAAAAGTTTGGCAGGAAATTAAACAGAAATAATAGATTTCGGGGATCTCTCTCGCCATCCATAGATGATATTAGGCCAAATACAAAGTCAGGGCCTAAACTTTTCAAATCTGGAAACAATTAGGTTCAATTTAAGTAAAAACAAGGTAAATAAAATTAATTCACAATAATTATAAATAAAAAAACCAACTTTGTATACTAAAAATAGTCACAATATGATAAATGAATAATACCAAGTTTATAACTATAATAAGTAAAACAAATTCTATACTTACAGTCAATGTCTTTCTCCAAAACCTTTTGAACTGTCAAATAAATATTCAGCCTATCTTGGCGAAGCTGTGACTGACATGCAATTTCTCTAAATAATATGTTAAAGTATTCACCACATAACTTTATTTCATAATTTTTCATATCCATTATAGCAAGGTAACCTTCTAGAACTGCTGGTATCACTCTATGGTTGTCTTTTAAACGATCTATATAAAACTTAGAAATAAAATTCACTTGCATTTGATTTAAATAGCTTTGAGGAAGATCTTTGAGTAATTTAGTAAAGAAACGCATCCCTTTTTCACGATTTTCTGCATCTCTATGGGTTAAGACTCCAGCCATGTTCTCAACTATTTTTGTGATATCAATGCGGTCACAAACAATATCTGGAAGATATAAATATATACATTGAATTTTAAAATTGCGTCTTGGATCCGTCTTTAGAAATGGTAATAACAAATGATTTTTTGACAGTTGTTTATTTAGAATTAACTACTAAGTAAATACCATATATATATATCAAATTAACAAACAATTATAAAATTACATAAATACATACCCGTAACAATGCTCTGTGTTTCGTTAAATATATAACTTTGTTTTATAATTTCATCAGCCAAATCCTCCTTGAACCAAATTGGGTCCATTCTGTAAGTAAATTTTCCTGGTTTTGTTTAATAAATCAATGATAACTGCATCGGCTAGGTTTTATTGAATTGTTTAAATAACAGTTATTATGTAATTGTTACTTAAAATTTACTAAACACATATTGTTTTGTCTTAATTTTAAAATGATTTTGAGGTTACATCTGAATGCTGTCAAAAGTCAAAACTTTGATGAAAACAGTTATAGTGTTAGGAATTTAAGATTATATTTAGTGATCTGCTATAATCGTGTTGGTGAACACAGATTAGGCTTACAGGATAGACACCAGTCGATCAATGTGAAATGTTAATTGTCAATGTCTAAAACAAAAATATACATTGTTAATTTATATTTAAATCAATAATGAATTGTTCAGTGGTGGGCGATTACGAATGATTGGCATAATCGATTTATATCGTATTACTAATGTTGGTAATCGATTATGGGATTAGTAACTAATTTGTTTTCATAATCGAATGATGTTACTAATTAGTAATACTAATCGTGCACTCCTTGACTTTAGTTGTTTAAACAATAATAGATACTTTTATATACTGGTGTAGTTTGTTTTGTTTACTACGATATTGTGAGACGTGGCGCTTTTCACCTTTTAGTGGATTTATCATATTTAAAAGTAAGTTGACCGACCTTTTTTTAACTCTGTCTAAAAATGTAAATATGACTTTTAGTTTTAAATAACCATTTAATAAATAAATGTTCATTTCCTTTATGTATTACTTGACAATTTTGTATTTTTTTAAATTTTAAACAAATATTTAAATAACATATGAATCTTTGTATTTAATCCAAGAAGTATCGTATTTAATCATTAACCGTTTTATTTCAGACTGACTGATCTGAAATTGCCGCGACCATTTAAGAAATTAGTAACTTATTTGGGAAACCTAAATACAAAAACAATAAAAAGCCGATTTTTTTTTATTATACCGTCTTCCAATTGAATGTGTTCGTAATAAAAAAATAATAAAAGGGTCACATCCGAAAGTATACTAAACGTGAAAGCGAGCGAGAAGCCATAGTGCGTTGTCCTAACTTAGAAGTATTAGTAACTAGTAATTATCCTTCTCTATTGTAACTACTAACATTTCATAATCGAATGATTCCATTAGTATATCTCACAATCGTCCAACTCTACTTACATATTAGTAACTACTAACCGCTATAATCGAGATATCTCGAGATGTTTTCATAATCGAATGATTTCGTTAGTATATCTCATAATCGCCCGCCTCTAAATTAATGATGAAATCTTAGTTATTGTTTTTTTGAACATACGTGAAGATCTCTTTTTTGTAAAAAGAAATTCAAAACACAACTGATAATGTCTCATAAAACGCTAATTGATTTCGTCGTTAGATATCACTCTCCTCGCTTGCTGAACAATGTAGTATTCTTTCCTAGTATTGGAAATTCATTTTTGGGAAGAAGAATAGTTTTTCCTGCAGTATCCACATTATCACCAAAACTTCAGTCAACCAAAAGTTTTACTACCAGTGCTATAAACTTTTCAGGTATCCCTTTAACACCTGAACCAAATAAGTTTGAGGGTAAATTTCAACTCATGTATACATGTAAAAAATGTAATACAAGAAATGCAAAATTTATTACAAAGCTGGCATATTATAAAGGTGTTGTAATAGTGAACTGTGATGGTTGTGAAAACAGGCACCTCATTGCTGATAACCTAAATTGGTTTTCCGACATGAATGGCAAGAAGAATATTGAAGACATAATGGCTGAGAAAGGTGAAACAGTACAGAAAATTATGTCTGAAGACCTTGAATTTATAGCAAAGGAAATTGCTCAAAGTGTAGATAAACCAGAACTTATAGGGTAAATTGTTTAAAATTAAGTTTAGTTTTATTAATTAAGTCATCTAAATTATTAAATCAGATCTAGGATATTAATTGTTGTTTTTATTTTATTAAAATCAAATTACTTGACTGGCACGAATCATTGCAACATTTTAGAACACATACTGAGACACACATAATCTAATATGAATAAAATCATATTAAAATTAACTTAACCCAATTACTAAAAATAGTAAATAAGTGTAAGTTCTAAATAAAACACTAAGATATTTGTTAAACTATTGAAAATCCGCTGGAGCAGCAGAGTTAAGTGTTTTATCTTTAAATTTCTAAACTAAAGAGATTGAAGTTATAAATTTCTTTTATTTATTATTCATTGTACATTGATATAATTTTATGTATTGCTAAATATACTTCATATGGCAAACTTAAAGGTATTAAGTGCGCTTAAGTTATACAGCATTTCTGCCCTTATTGTATTTATTGGCACCAGATGGTAATCAAAATTAGTTTTTAAAAAATTACATAAAATATTTATAACATAATATGTAAAATATATGAACCACACTAAAACATATTTAAAGGAATGTTGATTGCCAATAGACATTAAAATCAAAGCTTAATTATAATAAATTTACATAATTTCAGTTCCCAAGCAGATTCTCATTTAGTAAAAATCTTGTAATGTTATAAAACTTGTTGTCCTAGTTAATTTTTAAGTTTCTACAAGTATATTTATAATTACAATTAATACTATAAAGATACATTCATTACACTAGGTCAGATCTGTATTAACAGATTATAATACTTAATAGAATAAAAGGCACTAATAATCACAATATTATAAAAAATTCGTAATGTTAAAGAATATTTTTTAAATAGTTTATCCAATGTTCTTTCAAAGGGAATGTTGGGCAGTCTCATTATTTTGTGGTTATCATATCTTCTCTGAATTTGTATTAAATCTATCAAAAGCAAAACATCACAAATGATTAAAACGAAACTAATTTCATTTTGGAATGCAATTCTTCAAACATTCTAGGATTGCTTGCATTGTAGCATATAGTTGGCAGTGTACTTAATTTTAATAAAATTGCCATTAAATACTGTAATTCATTGTGTCATTCAGTCTCAAATATTTAAAATACTTTCTTTAAACTCTTTTAGGTCGGCTGACAATTGCATAATCTGTACCATTACAGTTATTATGTGTGACATCCTCTAGACCTACTTGATTTTGAAGAACTTGGGCTTGGGCCGCAGTAGGCACTTGCGGACCGGGTGTGTTTGGTTTCCGTATCATCCCATAGCCTAAATGGGAGTCATCAGCTAGTCTTGCTGTTTGCATGACATTCTCCACTTCATCATAGTCATTCCATGTGTCTTTATTCTTAGAATCCAATAGAGCCAATGTTGTAGGTCTAGCCTCAATCTTTTTGTATCTAGATGATCTATTTAATTTACTTGTTGAGCCAAAGTACTGTAATCTATCATAGTTTTCATCTTCTGGATCAACAACAGGACTAGGCAGTAGAATAATTCTGGAAGACTCCGGTCCTGATGTATTTAAATTATCCTGTGATCTTGAAATTAACTTCATACAATTGGGACTGTCAGCTAAGTTAGGAGTAAATTCAGTGTGATCAGGATCATCTATACCCAATGTTTTCCATGCTTCACTTCTTACTTCTACTTTATCATATGGCACTAATGGAGATGTTTCCTTCTTTATTTGATCAATTGGTTCGTAATTATCAAGTTTCTTGTACCTACCAAAATCAATACTTTCGTCAGTAGAACTTGTTACATCTTTCACTTTTGGCATATTCATTATTTTACGGGGAGGTTTTTGGGGTTTCGGTTTAAGTGCTGGTTTAGGCATTAAAAGAGGTGCAGTATCTCTTTCAGTACTAGATGTCTGCTGACTTGAAATTGAAGTACTTTTAAATGAAAGAGAGCTCAAATTTAAGTCATCAGGCCTGGCTGCCACTAGTGGACTTCTAGAACCAGGAAATAAGTTAACACTTGGCTGTATATTAAATTCAGAATGATCAGGGCTATGTAAATTGTCACTGCCAATCATCTGCTTCATTGTTTTCATCTTCAGAGATAAACATTTAAATATTTCTGATTGGTTAGGATGTTCTAAGTGAAATATACCTTCCCCAGTATCACACTTCCTCCCCGCCTCAAATGTAAATTTACCCTGTCTATAACCATAGCGTCTTATATATCTATATGGCCAAGTAGCATACAACTTATTGTCATTAATATCTCTCAATTCGATAGCGGTTGTTGTTAGCAGCAAGATATATCTAATAGGTTCAAAGCCACATCTGATTGATGCTTCTGATGAACACATTTTTACTGAGAAGACACCTTCACCTGAGGTACAATAGAGGTCATTGTCTTCATCACAACTGATGGGACTAGATGATACCCCTCTAAAAGCAACAGACTGAAGTGCAGTAACCCATTCTAAAGTTTCTGGTTCAGATTGAGCACATATCTGCTGTGTCAGTGATTTGGTGAAAATAGTAATTGTGTTTGGACTAGCATGTGTTATTTTAATACAATTTTCTAAAGTAATAATTTTGGGAATGGCACCCGAAGTCACTTCATCCTTGTTGTCATAAATTTCTAATCTCTCAATGCCCTGTTTGCTTGCATTGAATAGGATGCAGTATTTTTGCTGCCAATTTTTCTGAAAGCATATAAGAACTTTATTAGTTACATGAATGGCAATTTACATAGAATAACAAGAGCAATTGATCACCTAATTATTAATATAACTTTAAGTTAGAGTTGCCAGTACGTAAGTGGTTGAAATAATAAATTATTTTGCAGTCAATTAGTACATGGTTTATGTGTTGGTCAATGTTAGTATATATGTTATTGAATAACCTACCTGCCAGACTGACTCATTAGAAAGCTGTCATAACTGTTCCTTACCGCGTGTTATTAATTAACAAGCTAATAGCCCTAATAGCGTAATTAAATGGAATATAATAGGTTTACAGTTAAGTAAGGATACCTTTTTAGGAAATTTGCTAAATACATTTCCCCCGGCCGGGGGAAATAATAAGCAACCCGATTTTATTTCATCGTCCAGTTCCATGGTATGAAAAAAATTCCTTGGAGTCCTTTTATAAAAGCTTCGAAACGTGGCACCTTAACATCACAAGTACCATAGAAAATTGTATGTAATTTAAAAATTAAAAATTCGAAAAAACCTTTTTGACACGCAAAACAAAAGCACAAAATAATAAATGGTGGCATCACAGATAATGTAAGACATGACAATTCACAATTGATAATATTTACTTATAAGTAGTGAATAGAAACAGAAAAAAATACTCAAATAAAAAAACGTTATTTTAAAACCAATTATCGTCGCGTGGTTGGTTTAAATATGATAAAGCAAATAAACAAATTAGGTGTCATACAATATTCGAATTGATCTTGACTCTGGTTTAACATTACATTATCTTTAGTTAAGATTCTTTACTCTATAGCTAAGTGAAAATTTGTCATATGCCCACTTCATTGTCATTCTCTTTTTTACTTAGCATTATTTTGATTTCTTAAATTAATCCGGCGTTTTACTTATGTATTTGTTTATGTACCTCTAATATCTAGTTCGATTTTAAGTTGTTACAATGGCCAATAATTTAAATCCTCTAGCTGGGACAGCTCATCTACTTGACGAATTGGATAGTATGTTTCTCTTGTTATTCAAAACATGTTTTATTTTGTTTATATATTTTTATGATAATAGTATCTTTTCTGATAAGAGAAACTAATGGTCTTGCTGCGAGATGGAAGAACTCTGATTGGCTACTTACGGTGTGTGGATCAATTTGCCAATTTAGTACTCCACAAAACCATAGAAAGAATTCACGTCGGCAAGGAATATGGTGATATACCGCGAGGAATCTTTATTGTGAGAGGCGAGAATGTTGTTCTATTGGGTGAAATTGTTAGTACTTTTGTAATAATTGGTTTTATGCTCTATTTCCAAAGCCGACATAGTGCAATTCTGAATAGAGGGAGGACTAGGCTGATAAAATTGTGTGTCCTTGACCTCGTCATCGAAAGGACTTGGACCCTTATTATGAGTATTTTTATGTTCAGTTTAAGAAGATGTTTTAATACTTTTTCTTTGTAATCTAACAAGAGCACTAAGTCTAATATATTTCTTAATTCTAAATACAGGATAAGGAAAAAGAGGACAGTTTACCACTTACTGAAGTGTCTGTTGACGACATATTAGATGCTCAAAGAAGAGAACAAGATGCAAAAATAGAACAGCAAAAGCTCTTGTCTAAAGCTCTAAAGGAAAGAGGACTTAACATGTTGGCAGATTTAGGTCATGATGATATGTTTTAAAGTTACTATTTTTTAAGCAATCAAGTATTCAATATATCAAGTATATTTTAAACTACATAGTTCTGGTTAATAAACATCATTATTCACTGTGCTACATTTAAAATTTCCAAGAATTTTTTTAAAACCATCTAATATTACTTAATTATACTTTGATGGATGATTAAGTAATGGTTATCACTTATTGTTTTATATTATTAAGTAGGTGTAATGTGATATAATTTTGTAAAAAACTTATTTTAATGTGAACTAAATAAAATTTTTGTTAATACTACAGTCTGTGTGTAAAATTAATAACGGAGTTTGACTCCTGTAGTGTTATATATTTCCCTGTTATAATCTGTACCCATACCTTAAATACTGGCAACACTAAATACCTCAAACGACCGTTGTGAAATATTGACACTGACATTTTAAGATTTGATTTAAAAACAATGGCACCACTGGTTTTTTGCTTCGAGTAATTTAAAGAATAGAAAAGTTCGCGTATTAAAACAATCAATGGCAAGAGGCCCTCTTGGAATTAATAATTACTAATTACATCCATACTAAGTTTTAATCTAATCAGTCCGCGTCGTGTCACGATAGCGTAATAACATGTGATCATAGTTTGAAAAGTTTACAGATTTTTTTTTTATCTTTTAATGTTTCTCTAAGAACATGAGTAGCCAGGATATACAACTTATTGAACGGTTACGGCAGGAGAATTTGGAACAGTATTTCACATTGGTGCGGATGCATTTATCTTTTGTAGTGGATATTAACACGGACGAGTAAGTAGCGACTTATAAATATGAATATCTTGTTTTAATAGAACTCATAAACGAAATATTGTTACAGTGTTGATTGTTCGACTGATAAGCCAAAGCAATTTAGATGGAATTTTCATAAGAAATCTAAGAATTCAGCAACTAATACTAGTCACAACAATGCAAATACAACAAAGAATAACATAGAAGTAAATTCTATCACTGAGGAAGGCATCTCCAGGCTCAATGAACTCATAGATTTTCTTTCCAAACCAGACAGTAAGTATTTATTAATTATAATTTGCTTATATCTTATTTCTCACACATAAGGGTTGATGAAGAAGAATTGAATTAAGCTGTTTTGAAACAATTTTTTTAAGATATTAAATTATCAATCATCAAAATGTAATAATCTATCTAATTATCAATGCTATGATAAGTATGTAGCTTATTATCTCTTTTAATGTTATTTTAATATAGATAATATTGTGATTGAGGTATTAGACAAAGAAGAAAGAAGCTAACAATATAATTTAATAATTGTTTATATATAAAATTATATTCATGTACTTGCTTTCTATCAAATAAGCACTATATAGCATATATATCCTTATTCAAGCAATGTTTTTTTTGTAAGATTTATTATTATTTAAGATTTTATGTATATTTTTTTCAATACTATCACAATTGTTCAAACAAAAAGTACAGTTTAAGACTTCAATGTTTCTAGATGTCACCCAAGAAGGAATATTCAGACGGACTGGGTCGTTGAGCCGCCAGCAGGAACTACGACAGCTACTTCATACTGGTTCAGATTTAGGACTAGATGATAGTAAATTCTCTGTACATGACTGTGCTTCAGTCTTGAAGGGATTTCTTGCTGATTTGCCTCAACCATTGTTAATGGACCAGTATTATCAGACTTACTGTACTTTAGCAGGTTTGATTCCTTTAACATATATTTATAACAAAGCACCCCAAATTTGGGCCATTCCTAAACTCCACAATCAAGTAAGTAGTAAATTGGTAAAAAACATTGTTACATCTATGTGGACTTAAAACTATTAGGTTTATTTATAACTAACAAAACCTTGGCAATTGTTTTTATATTTTGTATAATATTTAATATTTTGTCTTTCAGCTCAATACCCACCAAATGTAGAGACATCAGAAACAAAGTTACTCACAGCTTTACAGTTACTTTTGCTGCTACTCACCCCATCACATAGAAGTTTTCTTGAACGGCTGCTAAAACTGCTTAGATTAGTGGCTGACAATGAAGCGAGCAATCGGATGTCGCCAGATACACTTGCTACAATGTTTACGCCGCATCTCTTATGCCCTAGGAAGGTAAGTAGTATTACAAATACCAAACAATTATGTTTATCATCTTGAGTAATTCTTGATAGATTTTAAGCAGTAGCATGCAGTAGCATATAGTCTACAGATTTTATTAACTTTTTCCTGCCTCTATTGTGTTATATCCAACAGCATTATGTTATAAAAGGCTAAGGTACAGGTACATTCTTCACAGCTAGCTAAGTGTTTCAAGTTGAGAATTAAGTTTTTTTTTGTGTTAGCTTTCACCAGAGAACTTTCACACCGACTCAATAGCTCTATCACCAGTGATAAGTTTCATGATACGTCACTCTTGTGAGCTGTTCGAAGCGCCTGCGCAATTAGTGACAGACTCCGCTGCGTATTTCGCGTTGCGAGAACGAAAACGTATCATGTCACCAGATGTTGATTTGGATGAGAGTATTACAGACAGGTATATTATCTTGCTTACAAGTTATATTATATAAAAATATGGTTATGGGGGTTTTTAGCATATGATAAGTACACACTTATATGTTTGAATACATTAAGTTGTGGGTTTGTTTAATTACCATGTATGTATGATAAAAGCTCTTTTGAATCAATTTAATTCTTAGCCTATAAAGAGAAATCCCGCTTTCCGCCGTGGGGCGAACACTTTACTTACTTTACTGAAAGATTCGTTTAGAAGCAAGGCGTTCATTAGAGGATTCGAACACAGGACCTCTCGTGCTTAACACAATACTAGGCAACACGTTAAAATATTTAGCTACAGAGGTCCGTATTCAGTAAATTAAGCTAAAATACGTGTATATTTAAATACCATTTATATTTTATGTATTTCAGAACGGCAGCAAACACAGTATACACGTTTGTAGATCAGCACCGCACACGCGCGGAGAACGAAACGAACCCCACGGACACTGCGCTCGCACAACTTTACGCACACATCCAAGCTTTACCAGACTCACACCATAAGCGTCGCCTTGTAAAACATTTCAACAGGCAGAATGGATATGGTATGTTATATATTGTTTAATTTAATTTCAGTAGTTTGCAGTGTAAAACTAATATATTTTGCGTTTTAAATAGAAAAATGTTTTATGTTTATAGTTTATTTGATAAAAATATGTTTTTTTTTAGAAAGTCTTTGTGCACTCAATGATTGGTCAGTTCGAGACTAACTTTCCTACTTGACTAAATGCTTACTTTTAAATAAAACACTTTAACGGTTAAAACCGATATAAGTTAAACTTATTTGAAAATGATTTTTAATTTCGGCCCGACGTTTCGGATGCTTTGCAGCAGCCGTGGTCACGGGGAGACACGTGACCTCGGCTAAAGTGTTTTATTTAAATGTGTACTACTCGCGTAAACTATAGACAGTATTTAAATGCTTACTTTTAAGTTGTTAAGGGAGTAGTGTTTATATAATATATCTAATAGTTTTCGATGGTAACATTTTCATGTACAGGCACACCAATACAAGTACAACGAACCGGAAAAGTGGCAGGTTCGAGGAGTTTCGGTGATTCTATTAAGAGGCACATATTTAATAAGGGTATTTTAAATAAAACGCCAAAGAAGGGGTCCACTTCTATGATAAATGCTATTGAAGAGGTATGTATAATGTGTTTCATTTAAAATAAAGACCCATTAAATAGTCTACTTACATTTTAAATTGGCATGTTTATGTTTGTTTATGAATAATAATCTGTGTAACCAGCTTAAGTACCATTTCATGTTTTCTTCTTCATCCTGAACTTTCTCATTTATCATGTAACATATCTCCTCTTTAATTTTCGTTCATGTGCTAAACGCATGCCCTATTTCCAGAAATGCAAAGGGAAATTAAAATTCTCTGATGACAGCAAAGATGTTTCATATAAGAATATAGTTTTAAAGAACTTAGCCAATAAGATGGCCAGTTCAGAGTCGTTGGACGATGATTATGAGTCTGACGTCAGCAACGAAAGTACCCTATCCGATGGAGCTCTGAATAAATCTAGAAAAATGAGCCCTAAATTCGTTTCCGAACCTAATTTGAGCGTGCTAGACTCTGCCGATGAAACGCCGAAAAACGCTAAGAAACGATCAAGATTGTTTAGGACAAAAATTGTGTCACAGCAGAGTAAAAAGTATCAAAAACGTTCGACTGTACGCAGTACGCCGACGTCTTGCGTATCGTGTGTTGAAGATCAAGACACCGCTTCGGATAATGACGTGTGTACACCAGAGACGACGCCGATGAGAAATAGGTTCTATGGCAACGAGTTAGAGTTGAATATTAATTATTTGACGAGTACACCCGGGGTATCTGAGGTGTGTGACGATAACTGTGCGACGCCGTATACGATTAACTTCAGGCGAGCCTCAATGTCGCCTATAACGCAATCCACGCAGAAATTATCAAAAGCTATGCAGGTTTGTGCTTTGCATGTCTTGCGCATGTTGTGTTGTTAATGTATCTCTATTATATCATCTACAAAAAAAAAATAGTCCATTTAAAAGAAAAAAATCCTTGCTCTTCTGATAGCACTCATGAATGCAGAACTCATTTTTAATTCTAAAATTAATATCAATTCGGGTGAAACGGGATTATTGAAATAATTATTGAGTTAACAATTTATATATTATATCTACAATACTATGAATACAACAACAATTTTACATGGCCCAGCATATAAAATAATCATTGCCAAAATTATCTATCTATTAATCTTTTGTATGTCTCCAGGAGTCGATAATGACACCACGATCTAGGAAACCTCTTATAATAACTTCAGAACAGCGAGACGGTCTACCGGAGGCACAGGGTATATTAGACAAGGATGACGATAACTCTGACATCTATCAGTCTCTGTCACCCAAAAACGATAGTGACTTTGTTTCATCTGAAGATGAAATGACAAGGTCCAGTTATTCTTGTGAAAGGTATTTTTACTATGTGTTTCAAGGTAATTGCTTTTCTATTTATATATTTATTTTTTATTTGAAAGATATAACCTTCACTTTATAATCATAATAGCGGCCCTGTCCCGGCTTCACACGGGTAGACGTAAATAAGTACAGATATTAAATTTATAAGCATGCTAATTAAAACGATCATGAATCACTAAATTAGAAAAAAAATGTATATAGCGTCCTGGCTGTTAACGACCTTTGTCTATCACGCTGTGTCAGGAGCCGCTGCGAGCGTTCAGTGTTAGAGTCCCGTGCACGCGATCGTGAATTCCTAGCTCTATTTCCTTCAAGTCGCTGAGACGAACTCGCATTTTGTTCTGCAAAACGAACCTGAACATTCGAAGAAAGACATTTTACGGCTTCCGTTGGTTTTAGTAAGAATTTCTATAGGTATCTATAGTAATCGAGTACTAAATATAGCCTATGTTACTCAGTGATAATGTAGTTTTCTAATGAAAAAGGAATTATTAAAATTGGTCCAGTACTTTTTAAGTTTACCCGTTACATACAAAAATACGAATCTTTCCTCTTTATAATATTAGTATAGATAACTTTGCTGCTTATAGACACGTTTTAGACCTTAGTGAATGTGACAGCATGAGCATGGATAGGAATATAACTTTAGCCGTGTTTTAATCAGTTAAGCATGTTTCGAGCTTTTTTCTCTCAAATGGTTAACCTTAAGTTTGTTTTATATGAAAAACTAATTATAGACATATGCTATGCAGATGATAGCATTATATAAATTAAAAATCAATTTTAGATTGAAAAAAAATTACGACACTGTCTTGCATCGAAACATTGCGCATGCGCAGAACAGAGAAAAATTTGACGACGAGTGTTGGTTGGCACGATAACTCAATTGGCTAGAGCAACAACACGTAACGCTGTGGATGTTTATGCAAGTGCTGTCCGTGTCGTATTTTTTTTATACGGCACAGATTATTCTCTGTATATTTTTCGTATTTTCCCACAAAACATTTCATTTGTATTTTGTTTTATAAGAATCATAATCAATTTTCAGATCAGTTAATTCAGCAAGCGCTTCGTTACCACTCAAACAGTTTGATGCACGATCAAACGGCTCAGAATTCAGCCTATGTGATGCCCCAAGAGTTGTGCTCACCAACAAAAGAAATAATGTGGATTTAAACACAACACTTATCGATGATTTGCCAAAGAAATCCGACGACCAAGTATCACTATCGGCGCCGTTCAAAGAGTATTTATTAAGTAGATCCGTCCTGACAGCCACACCGATCGATCTATCGATTCTAAATAAATCGACCGATGAAGATAGAATAACCGATTCGTTGATGTACTGCCTCGATGGGAACGTCCCGTCAGATTTGACGTCATCGATCAATAATCTAGCAGTCGATAGTATATCGAATCGATCGCCATTGAAGAACCTGAATGGTGTAGAGCTAAGTCCGAGTAGGAAACGGTGTGGCGGTACAATTAACATAAGTATGGACAGCAAAAAAGTGATTACGGAAAAGGAGAATACGAATCAACATTTTGAACTAAGGGAGACTGAATTATAATTTACATAATACATACTTATATTATAGATTTTATTATTATTCTAGGCTGTCCTAGAACTAGTATTTTCACTGTAGGTGCTTTGTGTGACGGGTCGATCTAGATTACATAATTTTAATAACTTAACTAATTATAACGGAAAATATTGATATATTTTCCGTTATAATTTTTATGTTATTTTTAACTACGACGCAACGTTTTGCAGCAGACGTGGTCATGGTACTAAACGTGAAAACGTCGGGTCGTAGTTTAAAATAAGTAATTTCACGTTTTAAACCTTTACGTGTTTTATTTAAATGTGTACCACTGGCGTAAAGTATAGACGAGATCACATAACTTTATTTTAAGTCTAGTTCATTATTATAACTAGAATTTACACAAAAATAACACCTGTTACGCTTATCATACAGCGAAAATACTACAATGAAGGAATACTGATGTATTTATCGCGGGAATAAATGATTTAGTTCCGAATTTATCGATAGTGCCTTCGCATTCTATTTAGTGTTTACTATTTACGTTTTGTAAATACGTACGTTACATAATAAATATTACCTCAGTATGGATTCGTTTTATTCGGTTAAATTAAGCAAATCACTATACATGTTATAATGATAATGCATGTCAAGTAGCAATAGAATTGACAACACACTCGGTAGAAGCAGTTGACGAACTTTCGGGTCACCGACTCGTGGTGGTTACTGAAAAATAAAGACTTGTTTAGTACACTTCTAAAATAGTTTTAATTTTGAATCAAATAAACCATTTTGTTACAACTAAGGGGGGAATGCCCCTTGGTTGTTAACAAAATGCTACCTACTGAGCTGTCGAACGAAATGATTAAAGCTAAAGAGTTTGTTTGTTTTGAACACGCTTATCTCAAGAACTACGGGTTCGAGTTATTTTTGTGTTGGTTAGAGCATTTATCGAGAAAGATGAATCGAGAACTGTGAAAAAAATTATTCATCATTATGGTTTTCCGAGGCGTACGCTGCAAAAACGGTTCAAGATACCCAAAAAATATGTATGAAAAAATGATTCCTCTTCAAATGATCTAAAACAAGGCCGCGACGTTATATGTCTATCTTTTAAGATTAACTTGCAAGAACGTTCCGGGACGCCACCGATGTTTTGGGCAACAGGTTAAATTTATAAAGATAAAGGGGTTAACACTATAACGGACCCAAAATAACAATTCTCGTGGACGAAGTCGCTGACACAGCTAGTATAAATAGAAAAAGAACTTACAACTTTTTAACGGATATCGATTTCGATTTTTTGCGCGCTTGTTTTGTCGGTTTTTCTTTCAAACAAATGCCTCCGCAATCCCTTGCTTTTGTAATCACAGGCTCCATGTATTTCTGCTGTTTTTCAACTTTTGGAACATATGGTTCATAATAGGGCTTATAATAAGTTATCTCCTTTTCGGGAACCGGTGCGGATTGATATTTGTATCGATTTTCTAATACTGTCGGCGGAGGTTTGTATTTAATCGGTTTTTCTAGCGGAGGTTTCCTTTTAACTGTTGGGGCCTTGTATTTATTTACCGTTTCAACTGACGGTTTATATTCTACTTTTGGTTTGATACTCTCCCAAAGAATGAAATCTCTTAGGCGCGTCTTTTCGAAGTTCTTTCTTTCCTGGATCTCTTGCTCTCGTCTGTGTTCTTTTATCAACTGCTTTAAAGCGCGTTTCCTTTTGTACCAGCGGCATATGTTTCTGATTTTACATCTTTGGCGCGGAGGTGCGTCTAAAGTCTTTCGGCTTCGAAAACGTATAGTTTTTAAAATATTAACTTCAGTCGGTTTTCTTACGCCGCCTATGAAGTGCTTTTTTGGTTTAATTAAAGATATTGTTATAGGAACTGGTAGGTTTCGCGATTCAACTATCATGTGAGGCCTGAGAAGAGAAAACACTGTTTTAATATTACAATTGGATTCGAAATAATCTCAGTTATCCCTGGAACGAAGGAGCTTTGAAGATCTTACAAGCTGACCTTTTGTGAAAGGAACACAAGAGTATTGTTACATTTAATTTAGTTTCCGTTTTTATTCCTTTAACTGCAAAGCACCTATCTATTTCGTAGGAAAATCGATATTTTTTTGAACGCGCTCATCTCAGGACTACTGTTTCGCATTGAATAATTGTGTTACTAAAAACAATTTTTTATGACTTGTTCTACGCGAACGAAGTCGCTGGCACTGCTAGTTACCTCATATTTATTTTTGTAAAGTAGCTTCTTAATCGTACAATTAATTGCTATTACTAAAAACATTTAATTACGTTACGACTCTGCGAAGCGATATTTGTTTTTCACGAACGGACGAGGGCATGTTTTGCCCCAGTCATTCCAGGGATGGTAACGTTTACACTGCAGCCACATTTGTATGTCTACATTTTGATTAAAAGTAGCAAATAATAAAACCCACAATTATTTTATGTCATTTTTGATAGTTGTCAGAAATTAGTCTGATATTTTATCAAATATAGGATCTGTGTCATCTTCAACATTGGTGTTATTAAAAATTATATTTCACAGAAAAAAAATAGATCTTGAGAGTCTTTATATGTCATTTACCTTCGGTAATCTTGCGTGTGCATTGCCACTAATATTAAAATGAGTTTTTTTAAAAAAGATAATGTATAAAGGTATAATTGTATTACACTAAGTTTATTACACTTTATTTTTTGTTACTTAAAAGATACGATTTTGGATCGTGGACAGTGGAGAACTCGAGCGATGTTTACCCACTATATAATTTTAAAATGTATTTTTTTAACAATATCATTATAGCAAATATTTTCATCTTTAATTAAAACGAGAACAACTAGATCTTAGCATTTGTATAAATTCTCAATGATTTAGTTATTCTGTTATCTTATCTGCACGGAACTCAGATCGTGCATTTGATCTCGCTCGTATGGAATAATTTGTACAAGTCATACGATTTGTACAACAGAATGAAATCTTATGAGTTTGTAGGTCACACATGTGATGGACTTTGGAGCTTTGGATGGTGTTATGCAACGAAATCATAGCTTGCTTAAAAATAATGCAAGTAATGAATTGGGTAGTAAGAAAAAAAACAAAGAATAATTTAAATAATTAATTAAGACTTCTTAAATTGCTTTCAAAATTGAATCTAAAATCTGATTAGACTTTTGTTATTTTAAAGAGGATCTTCCCCATTTAGGCAATATAGGTGAAATCTTGGACATTGGTGCATTTGAGAAATATAAGGTATATAGTAGTAAAAAGTGAAAAAATCTCTACATTCATCGTTTTCCTAGTTTCTTACCAATTTATTCAGTTATAATGAATGTATTTATTTATATATTGATACGTTATTGCACATAAATCACAAGTACAAAACACAATCTACTATCTTTTTGACAATATACATTTTTGAAACCACATCTATTCCGATTCCGGGAACTACTTAGTAGAGAAGATTTTTTTAATAAAGAATTATTAAAAAATGTTATCGACATAATTACATAGATTTTACTTGAAATATCTGTAGCCACTCGAGTCTCGGGCATTGGTTGAAATCAAGTGCGTACTTACGATATTATCTATTTATTGTTCGGAGTATATAATGAACTGATAGATATAGTTTTTTATGATAAACTTGATATTAAAAGCGACAGAACTAATATGTTCGTAATCAACTGAGATGTCGCAGTTACAAGCACGATATTGCTTTGGCATGAGTTTCCTTGGTGGATGAGATATATCGAAAAGAAAAAATAGCGCGAAAATGACTTTCAGTAAAATGTCAAATATGTGTGTAAAAGTGGGTGTCGTGAAAACTTTTGCGTCGAGGTTGCCGATTGGTTTGCTTCAGCGGAATTTCAGTGTGAAAAGTCGGCATTTGAGTGTAAGTTTTCACTTCTCTGCTGGGATAACATTTAAGAACGTGGAGCTTATTTTACTTCTAAAACTAAATTATATTTAGTTGATTTATAACTGCAAAACATATATTTTTTTTTCAATATAACTCACTTATATACCTAATTGGTTTCTATAATAATTTCTGTGATATCAATGTTTTTTAATGTCGAATACTCAATCTAATGTCAAATTAAATCATATAAAAAGCATATAATTAAAGATGAAAAATATGTAACAATTTAAATTATTATTTTTTCTTTAAGAAGACTTCTTTAAGAATCACACAGATATATCCTATATCAGTGTAATTTGTTTTCTCTCTTTTTTATTATTCATTAAAAAAACACAGGTACAGGGAAAACCTTCAATGTTGTATTTAAGAGTAAGACTTAAAATAAATAGGATACAGTATATTTACGATTGAAATCACAAAATCACACAACTCTGCAGGATTTTATATCAAAAAATACTGTTATCTGCATATGTCAAATGATATTAATAGATGTATTCGTGGAATATTTTTATATAATTGCCTTATGCCAATCCAATTCCTCTGCAGACGAGACTTGTGAGACAGTAATTTAGTGTCTCTATAGCAAATCAATAAAATATGCTTCAATCAATTGCTTATAGACAGCTGGGTGTTGTAATATTAAAGACGATTGAGAACATATTTTATATTAATAAGTGATTGGTATTTTATTGCATAATCTAGAACTTATTTTTTTCGTTTAATGTCAAGATAATATACCTATTATCGGAAAATGAACTGGGTTGGTGGCCATTTAATACAAGTAAAACGGTTATAAAGATCTGAATATTCAATTAAGTTATAATTGCAAAAAGATGAGACATTTCCTAAAACTGTGTGGATGTTGAAAGGATGTTAAGTAAATTGGTGGTTCTGGACATTAGCGTAAAACATAGAATGTCTTATTATTTTAAGGTTATTTGACATCTTTTGTCTCTGCAATAAATATGTCCATAAAGTTTTAACAGAACGTAAATTAAGATCTCTAAGAAGATTATTTTGTTGTGTACTAAATGATATGTTTACAAGTAAACGAATGATATAGTCAATAAGGGCTATTTCCTGTTATTATTATGGATAAGACGTGGAATATTTATTAGAATCTAGATACTTAAAGATGTGACCGTGAAGACATACAAGTAAATAATAGTCATAAACAATTGCAAATATCTTTATTACATAAAACGTGCAAAAGGTGTTTATATGAACACAAAGATATATCTTATATATGAGGGTTTTAGTTCACTTCTTTTACTATATAAAGCGATACTTTATATAGTCCCTTTTGACTGGTTAACCGTATGTACTAGTAAATTAAGACGTTCTGTATTCGAATTCCGGGAAAATATAAAAATGAATGAATCATTTGAAGTCCACGGGGCACAGAAGGTTGATCAATTACTTGCCTTTAAATTAAATAGATCATTAAAATAGACACAGACTTGTGTCTGCCTAAACCCCCAGGAGAAGATTGCAACTCACGTGAGACTTGAAATATCAGTCAGCGTTTTTTATGTCAATACTGTGAAAGTCTTTGTAATATTAATTTGATATTTTCCCGCGTATAATTGCTAAACTGCTTCAAGCGGCAGGCTTAGAATCTCGAAAAAATGAACTATTTTGAAGGGTGCAGAAGTCTTTCTGATTACTGAAATACAGTCTCAGTACTCAGTTTCGGTCGGGCAGTATACAGAAGTCTCAGACCTATTGAGACACAGATTTGGTCGTATAGGGCTAAAAACCCTGATTAACTTGTGCTTATCCTTACTAATATTATAAATGCGAAAGTAACTCTGTCTGTCTGTCTGTTACTCTTTCACGCCAAAACTACTGAACGGATTTGAATGAATTTGGTACACAGATGGTCTAGACCGTGAGACAGTATTTATTGCGAAAAGGGGTTGTAAGGGGTAAAAGGGGGGGTGAAAGTTTATATAGAAATTCGTGGTTTTTGAAGCTAAAACAATGAAACTTTCTTCTTTGGCTTTTTGGGAATGTGAGTGGAGTGGGATTGGTTAGAGTAGGAGTGATGTGAGGTGAGAGTGTTGCGGCAAAGTATGTGCTACAACACAGATTGGCTGCGACAAATGCGCAATTACATAAATTAATAAACAGCCTAAATAAATAAAAATCGACCCCAAGTCACTATTCCACGCGAAAGAAGTCGCGGCCACAGCTGTTTGTTGTATATATTAATAATTTTTTACCAGTAAAACGTACAAAAAAGTACTTATCCCTCTCATGTGGAAAACTGAATTGAACAGATACTAACTATGAATATTAGTTACCTCATAAGTAAAATAAATGTACGTAGTTATAACCATTTATTGGTAAAAGCTCATAATATAATTATCGTGTTGATTAATATATCGTTTAGGTACACACAGCGTTTAATTTTGTGACAACTGATAAATGTTCTCATTTCGTTTATCACTGTATGGATTCATACGACGCGTACGCTTGTCAAATTAAAGCGAGACAAAATAGTTTTGCTAGAAAAATGTAATAGTTGGGATAGTAGAATAAAGTGTTGGTAGATTTTTCGGTAATAGACGATTAGTAGTTTTTTTAACGATGTTGCGAGTGGCATCTTTTTTAACTAGTGGAAGGAGATGTTATTCCGTAATTGGGATTGATTCGTTATCTGTGGGAAAAATAAACTTGGGTCAAGAGGTGAGCTATGTTAATAATAAGCTAATAGTTAAGTTAAGTTCAGTTTTATTTGGGTTTTTTAGTATTCAAATGTAATCACACAAACTAAACGACACGTGCACGATATAATTTGAGTTGTTAAAATAAACACCTATCTTTAAAATCGTTTTATGTTCAATTTTGTATATATTACGGAGATTTTATAACTAAGAAAATAAATTAAAACAACAAAGAAAAGCGCTATTCTATATTTCCCAGAACATATTAGTCTTTGAATGTACTAGTTTTTAAAAGATAATCCTTTACACTGCAACTAGTGAACTAAACCTGCCTTCTTTAGGTTGGTACTAGTAAATGTATAAGTTTGGGGAAATGTTTGTTTGTTACTCTGTCACGCGAAACAACTGAACGAATTTTGATAGCACAAGGTTTAAAACATTATGCATTTATGATGCCCGATATAATGAAAAATTAGTCTCTTACGAGACAGTTCTAATGAGTCTTATGTTCCACTCATCGTTTTTAACGATGCTAGAACGATACAGTTTTTTTTATCATTCGGGACCAAGGAAGGTTCACTTGATGGAAGGTGAAATAGGGGGGGGGGGGCATTTCATCTTTATTTTATATATATTTAGGGTATTATCATCTATTGGACGGCTTCTGACCCGGGCAGAAAAAAAAAGTTTGAGGGAAAAACAACAAGCGCGTCAAAACTAGAGTTACCATACCAGCTTTTGGTATGGGTTAGCAAACTTTAACTACGTCATTAAAATAGTAATGATGACGAGGCTTAGAATGCTCTTTGATGCGTGAGCGTGTTCACACATAATTGCAATGTCAAACAAAATACAAATGCATAATTAACTAGCCCGTGATTCAAAACCGGGACCGTGTTCAGCGATCAAGTGCACTGTCCACGAATCCAGCGAGGTCAATAAAAATATACTATTACCGTTATTGCCGCCAATTAATTATTCGTAATACAGCAATTAACTTCGCGACCTTGAAACAATAACTGCATTTCCGTATTTATCTACTATGTAAAGATATATAAAATATGTATGACTAGCTGTGTCAGCGACTTCGCCCGCGTAGAATAGTTATTTTGAGCATCAAAATTTGATTTTGCAAACCTCCTCCTTATCTTTATAAACTTAAGCTTACCCGTGACGTCGGTCGCGTCCCGGCGTCCTGCAAGTACATTTTTGTGGGTTGACTGCAAGTACATTTTTGTGAGTTTGACACAAAGATGACTAATTTTCCCCGTTTTCCACAATTTTCTGCTGTTTGACCCTCCTTTAGTCACAGTGCGTTTTATAGCCTTCCTCAATAAATGCTCTAACCAACACAAAAATATTTTTTTTAATTTGAACCAGTAGTTCCTGAGACTAGCGCGTTCAAACAAAGAAACTATTCAGCTTTATAAATTAGTATAGATATAGATGTAAAGATATACATATAATATGTGTATGATGTATGCATTATGCAAAATGTGGTTGAGACTAGTCCATATCAATTACGGCACGTGTTAAATGCGTGGCTGTTCATTGTACTGTAAATAAAACATGTATTTACTTTATGTAACGAGTATTATATACCACGGTTGCTGTTTGTTTTTTTATTATCAGATTGTTAAGTATTTACTGTTTTTATCTATTTTTTATTGGTGCGAGTTTGGCATTGGTAGATTACAATGGTACAATTTTAATTAAACAATTCTTAACTGTTTAAAATGCAAAATATGATTAAGCAATTTCAACTAAGACATTTTGGACGCTTTGCAGCAGTCGCAGTAATATGATTAAATATTTCAAAAATAATACTAATAATATAATAATTTTAATATTAAAAAGTTTTATTATTTGTTTGGATTTGCAAAAGTGAGAGAAGAAAGAGTTTTTTAGGTGTAATCTATGTTTTCGTTGGCATTTGAGAATTATTATTTCATAAGAATATAGTTTAATCTATCTTTTATTTAAAATCACTCTCAGACATATCTAGTATGATTATATTTTATAACATATTAATTATAATAATAATTGAGTTTAATATTTCGTAGAAAACATCTTCTTTATAGTTTAAATACTTAGAAAGTTAAATTACTTTGACTGTTTGATTAGCATGATATTTAACATTAACGATTTAATGAACAAAGATACACGAAGTACTCACATTATCTGTAACACCGGCTTGGTTATTCAAACAACACCGTTAGAAAGAATAATCACTCTCTATATTGATTAAAAAAATCTTTGCCCAAAAACGTCACCAACTTTTCAAATTGATGGCCAGATTTAACTTTGATCCTTTTTATTATAGAAAACTTTGCAACATCCTTTCTTACTTGAAACTGAAGCTTGAATTAATTATGTTTGAAAATGTTTTATTCCAATAATACTGCCAAGAAGTATGGTTTAAAATGAACCTTACGTTTATTTTATAAGTACATATTCAATATCAGTTAATATCGCGTCTTTGAAGTCATCATGGGTTTCAGATAAACACATAATATATCTGTTACGTTGATTTCGTTTATTTATTTAAAAAGGCCAGAGGGCATTACAAAGTATCAAAAACATTATATATAAGACACTATATGCATAAAAAAATCCAATGTTTAGTACATAGTAAATATAAAGTACAGTATTAACACATCTTTCCAACCAGTCTTTGCGATCAATTTCCAAATTGAACTAAATTGTTTCTGATTCAAACCCTTTAGAGCGATTTTAAGTAATAGATTTACTTTGTAATAAAATCAAGTTAATTTGTTCTTGTTCTAAATTCAATTCAACAAGTACTGTACACACTCGCTAACCACCACTTAGGACAATTTAACTACAGTGTCACAAGGTATATAGACAAATCAACTCAGTCATAATTTAACAATAACGACTGAAAGGACTATTCGCAAGGCAAACACTAAAAATACTTAGAATTATTTTATTATTTCACTACGTTATTAAATAGTATACAAATATTTTAAATGACACTATGAACGGTTAAATATTATAAACGCGAAATATATTAAATAACTTATTAGAAAATAATCTTTACTAATATGATATATAAATCTGAAGAGTTTGTTTGTATGTTTGAACGCGCTAATCGCATGATCTACTGGTTTGAATTAAAAAAATATTTCTGTTAGTTTATTTTACTTAGAGTGTTTATCGAGGAAGGTTATAGACTATAAATAAAACATCGCTGTGGTTAATACGAGCGAAGAAACAGCGAGAAATGTGGAAAACACGTAAACAAATGTTCATCACTGTTCGTTTCCGATGCGTACGCTGCGTAAACGGTTTAAGATACCCAAAAATATGTATAAAAGAATGATTCCTCTTTAAATGATCTAAAAAAAAAAATTCCTTCATACTATATGTCTATCTTATAAGATACACTTGCAAGAACAACGGGCCGCGGCCGACGTCGTACATAACAAATTTGAATGCACAAAATGACTATTCTACGCGAAGATCGAGGGTGTCCCTAATGTCAAAGTCAAATCTGTTACACTAGCGCCATCTGAAAGCAGATTAAAGCTGACTTAGTCTAAGTCAGCTTTAATCTCACAATAAATGCGACGTTTTTATGATTCGTAAATTAATTAAATCATTAAACCGTTAACGTTGATTGTTCATATTGTAGCACGTGTTTCAAGAAGGTTATTGTTAGCACGCGCTACCAATAAAGTGTTTGGGAGCAATCTTTATGGCCTCATAAAAGAAAAGGGACGCTTTTACAAGCGACCGATGCTTAGAAAAATCGTATATAAGGAATCGAACCGCCATAATTTTAAGTATTATAAGGTTTTGAACAAAGGTTTTGAGTGGATTGTGAGGTATGATGGCTGAGAAAAAAATCTGCTCCCTGAAAAGATAAGAAAAGTACTGTCTGTAGTTCACGTGAGTAGTATACATTAAAATAAAACGGTTTAAAACGCGATGTGTATTACGTTAACTTATTTATAAACCATTGTAAGTTCCCCGTGACCACGGCTGCTGCATGTCGGGCCTTAGTTAAAATAATTTCTAAATAAGTTTAACTAATAAACATCGTGTTTCAAACCGTTAATGTTTTATTTAAAAGATAAGATATTATATTATTATTAATGTTCTATGTCCGCATTAAACGCATTGTACAGGCGTGGCTGAATTAAATGTTGTGCCCAGTTGGACCGAATTGTTATCATTTTCATTGAAACACTTAGGTGGGTCAAAAGACAATGTTTATATCTTCTATGAAAAAAATTAATAAGATTTATTATAACGTTAGTGGATCGACAAAAGAGGCATAATTTACTAATAAGACTAGCGGCTTACATAAAATCCTTAAATAAATATTAATTAACCTTGTCAATTTTAATACTAAACTTCACCGTGAGGATAAAATATATTTAAAATTGATTCTGTAACAGACTAGTAATAATAAATTTTCACGAATTAATTAACTCGCAGTAATTTCATTAATAAATTCGTCTGGCCTTTTAACTTTATTGAGTATTACATAGTTTAGCTAAATTTGCTGTATAGTTACTTTTTCTACACGCTTGATGACCAATTAATGAAATTAAATACAGAATTCGTAAAATTGTTGGGATTCATTAGTTGGGATAAATTTTGAAACTCAATATGGCTTTAAACTTTTTATTATTTATAATCCACCACCAAACAAAAAGGAAATATAATAGAGAAAAAATCGTACATACTAATTTATAAATAAAAGGCGGCCTTATCGCTAAGGGATCTCTTCCAGGCAACCTGAAGTACAAAGAAAAGAGAAAAAAACTTATTAGGTGTAAGGAGTAATATACAAAAAGAAATAGTTGTATTATTATTATTAGTATTTTTTTAACATTATTCATTATACATAAGAGGTATTAAGAATCAAGATAAACGCAGGTAAATAAAGATGACCTTATGTTAAATTAGATAATTATAATAAACTATAAATTAGATAATTGTTCACATTGATAAGTATTGTCAAAGTCCATAAAAATTATAATATCGTAATCTACAATTTTTATGTTTGTAAAACTTACTAGCTGAGTCAGTGACTTCGTCCGCGAGAATCGTTATTTTGTGCATCCAAATTAGTATTTGCAAACCCCTTCGCCTTTATAAACTTAAACTGTTACCCACGACTTCGTTCGCGTTCCTTCCCGTCGTTCTTGCCAGTTAATCTTAAAAGATACACATATAATAATAATGATATATAATGATGAATATTTCATAGCCTCCGGTTTCCTCGATAAATATTCTAACCAACATAAATAGAGTTTTTCAATTCGAACCTATAGTTCCTGAGATTAGCGCGTTCAAACAAACAAACTCTTCCGCTTTATATGTTAGTTTAGATGATATTTTCTATAACTGAAAATTCTTTGATTACTATACATTTGGGATATAAACATTAAAGCATGGTTGTACAGACTTCAGGGGAAATGTGTATGTGACATGGGATGACAAGGGCACAAAAGGGTGATCACCTTATTAAAAACGTTTTAGGAAATCTTTCATAAAACAGATGTGGAGATGTAAATATTATAATTCAATGAATCGAGAAAACAACTTCAATTTAACGTATTAATTCAGTCAACCAAGGATGAAGGCGAATGTTTTGAGCGATGTAAGGCTTACTTTTAGTCGTTGGTGGAATCTAAGGTTAATAAACAACGGGTCTTAGGTTCGGTTCCCATCGGATCAAATTTGTTATTAAATGACTGGTAGGCATATCGAAATTCAATCACTCACGAAACTCAAAACTTTCACATTGTGGTTTTTCGAGTGACAAAATAGGTCGACTACATATATTGTTGCAAATTATATGTTTGTCGGGCTACCTCTGCCAAGATAAAGATATATTTTTATATATTTAGAACAATGTATTTACCTAAAAGTACTACTAATAATACGTAATCTTTTAAATAAAACACTTTAACGGTTTAAAACGCGATATATTAGTTAAAATTGTTTGAAAATGATTTTTAACTTCGGCCCGACGTTTCGGATGCTTTGCAGCAGCCGTGGTCACGGGGAGACAAAGTTTAACTATATTAGTTTAACGGTTTAAAAAGGTATATCGTGTTTTAAACCGTTAAAGTGTTTTATTTAAATGTGTACTACTCGCGTAAACTATAGATGTAGTCTTTTATTTGGTTTAATTATGTATTGCTTAGTTACGTACATTTCTTAACATTGTTTTAGTACATTGAAATGGTTTTTATTTTTCTTATAATTTTTATATATTATAGGGCTCCATTTAGATCTTAAACCTTTTTGTAAGTTTATTTTTATCTTCCAGGGCTCTAATGTAGACAAACGTACGTTAGCAGCGGAGCGAAAGCAGAGGACGTTCTCCGACCGATCTCAATTGAAGTACGCCAGGCGATTAGTTGTGAAGCTAGGCAGTGCTGTGATAACGAGAGAAGACGGTAATGGTCTTGCACTTGGAAGATTGGCTTCAATTATTGAACAGGTAAATTCTTGAAATTCCAAATCCAATCCTTGAATGAAAACCTAGAATGAAGGACATTATGACTTGATTTATCTATAATTTATAGTCTATAAATGTGAATCTACAATAACGCAGTGACCGAAAATTATCAACATAAGTATTATACAAATAATTAATGGTACAAATTCATTTTCCTAAGTAAATGGCGCATTTTCATTATCTTCCTTATGTTAAACATATTTTTTGTTATTAGGCCACTCTGCCTCTAGTGGCCTTAAATCTAAACACTGACTACAGCTTACGCGAGTAGTACACATTTAAATAAAACACTTTAACGGTTTAAAACGCGATATATTAGTTAAACTTATTTGAAAATGATTTTTAACTTCGGCCCGACGTTTCGGATGCTTTGCAGCGGCCGTGGTTACGGGGAGACTAAAGATGGAGGATGTCTCTGACGTCAAAGTAAAAAATTGCTACGCTAGCGCCATCTGTTCCGTCGAAGTTGGTATTTGGCAAAACTGGCCGGGTCCTTACAGAATTGACTAACGGTGTCTTCACGTTTGCCGCTATGCTGTTTATTGGGATCCAGAGTTCTTAATATGGGATCCCAAGTGTTTGATTAACCGTTAAAGTGTTTTATTTAAATCAAGAATTTACAAGTACACGCTTTGAAATTAAAAACACAAAAAAAACGATACTTAACTAGTACTTAATTACAGTTTGTACTGCAAGTTAATTCGATTATTTTAATTTTTACGGTTTCGTTGGTGTAATGGTAGCAATGTAAGGCTAATATAACTGGTCGTGGGTTCGAATTCCAACCGGATCCAACATATTTCTTATCAATGTATAATGGGTGGTAGGAATATCGACGGCTTGGGAGTCACGAACCACCGTCCACAGATGAAAAAGCCATGAAGTTTAATCACGTTTTATTATGTATTGCAGTTTCAGTCTGTAGATGGTTTTAAATGAAGAATGTTCGTTACAAATTAAATCTCTCAAACATAAATATCAAGTATGTACATATTTATTCCTTCTAGGTGGCAGAATGCCATCACGAAGGCAGGGAGTGTATCATGGTGACAAGTGGCGCAGTGGCCTTCGGAAGGCAGAAATTAACCCAGGAGCTGCTCATGTCGTTATCAATGCGAGAAACCCTCTCACCCAGTGATCACACGAGAGAGGTAAACTTAATCAAGCTACGAAAGCCAGCAATACGTTTGTACACTTTTAGAACACCTTCAAAGAGCCAGACTTAAAACTCATTTTAATTTAGATTGGAATTTCAGATTTTGAAGAATTCGTTTCGAATCGTAGATTTTCACGCAAAATTTTAACCGCGAAAATAATCCTCTAGATTGCATATAGATCAAGTTTAACGGGTTGAAATAGTAGTTACCATGTATTATAAGGTCTTGTATTGTTCTGTATCTACGTCATTACAATTGAAGCTACAACGTACAGCAATATAATTTCAATTTGCCAAATTTCGTATAATACAATAGTTTGGTTGAGTTGTTAATTGTTAATGACGTGTAAGCTGATGAAGCCAAACTAATACATCCATATAAATTAGTCATTAATATCATTAGTTAATAGTTTAAGGGGTGTTGAATAATATAATGATCCTCAGGTGGATAAATCTGCATATAATAATCAATTTAACAATAGAGCAACATTAGAGATTGGATGGTCGAGTCCAAAATTAATCGTTACTGTTTGTATTGTGCAGTTTCAGTCACTGAATAATGGGTTTTGGAAAACTACTCTAGTTCTATACTGTCTGTGGTTTACGCGTGTAGTACACATTTAAATAAAACACCTTAACGGTTTAAAACGCGTTGTATTTTAGTTAAACTTGTTTGAGAGTTATTTTTAACTACGGCCCGACGGTCACGGTGAGCCCACGGCTGCTGCAAAGCATTAGAAATATCTGGCCGTAGATAGAAATAACTCTCAAACAAGTTTAACTAAAATATTTCGCGTTTTAAACCGTTAAAGTGTTTCATTCAAATATTCTGGTTCTATTGTACTATGATATTAAACGTAATTTTTTTTAGGTTTATTTTCAAATATAATATACTTTTTTTGTAATTAGGTATATACTATTAGTACCCCTCTTTAATCAGAAATGACCTATGAAAATAAGAAAGATAACGGTATTATGTAAATAGATACTTTGTTAGAAACACTCTTGATAAATTTAAAATCGATTTTAGAAAAATATTTACGGCAAACGCAGGACTTGAACCGGCATCTACAGCGTTATGTGCTGTTGCTCTAGTTCTAAGAATACTAAATATTAAATTTATATTATTTAGGGCTTGCACTCCTTCCGTATTTATAAATTCTGTTTAATGATCTTGTAACTAACTATTAATAATATAGATAATAAATTTCTAATTGTTGTGCCTTACTTAAAAAGATAACTCTTTCTAAGCCCTAAGATGAACATATTATGTAAGCCTGCTTAGAACAGCTTCCCTAAGCTATGATTAAGTTTTGTTAGTCAGCGCTGCATACAAAGAGCTTAATACTGTGAGATGTGGACAGAAGCTGTTTATTACAGGATGCTGGGAGTATATTGGACCCGCGGGCGGCTGCGGCCGTCGGTCAGTCGGAGCTTATGGCGATGTATGACGCTATGTTCTCGCAGTATAATGTTAAAATTGCACAGGTAATATTTCCTTATATAACGTCTTAACCACTAAACTCCATACATATCTACACTAATATATACAGCTGAAGAGTTTGTTTGAACGCGCTAATCTGAGGAACTACTGGTTCCAATTGAAAAATTATTTTTGTTTTATTTAGACCATTTATTGTGGAAGGTATTAAGCTATAAAACATTGCACTGTGATTAATATTAGAGAAGAAATGGCGGGAAATGTGTATAATACGGAGAAATTTATCCATCTCTGTGGGTTTCCGATGCGTGCCCTGCAAAGACAATTCAAGATAGTCAAAAGCTATGTACGAAAAAAGTATTTATCTTTAAACGATCTAAAAAAAATATTTGCTGTCTGTAGTATACGCGAGTAGTACACATTTAAATAAAACGCTTAAACGGTTTAAAACGCGATATACTTTAGTTAAACTTGTTTGAGAATTATTTTTAACCACGGCCCGACTTTTTGTCAGTCATCTCATGACCACGTCTGCTGCAAAGCATCCAAAGTCAGCCGTAGTTAAAAATTATTTTCAAACAAGTTTAACTAAAGTATAATGCGTTTCAAACCATGAAAGTGTTTTATTTAAATAAGTAGGTCTATCTTTTAAGATTAACTTACAAGAACGACGGGACGATAATCTTCTTCTGTATAACGTATATTATTAAAAATCATAAGCGGTAGTAGTTTTTCCGAGCAGCGTTATTTTAATAAAATTGAACTATTAACGAAATGCAGGAGATTAAAAAATTAACAAATAACCTTCGTCAGCACTGGTGCTACGTATTGTAAGCACTTACTTCGTAATTAAATATTAAGTGCAAGTAACGAAACGGAACCTCGCCACGTTTTGTGAAACAAAAAGATTTGAAAACCCGATTTTCAGATAAAATTAACGTATTGTAAACTGTGAAGGTTCCGGGTTAATTAATTACTTTTAAAATCTCACTAAATTCAAGCTGCTTTGATAGAATTTTAAATGTTCACAGCGATTTCATAAATGCACTTTTAAATGTTCAAATACAATTCCCAATGAAAGAGTTGAATATTTTATCAGTTAAGAGCCAGGTTTTATAACTAAATTAAAGTTGTATAAACTATATAAATTTTACGTTTTTAATTTTCGTTGAACGTGTTAAGCGCCTGAAAAAAAGTTATAGCAATCAAATCAAGTCGCGCCCAATTGTGAGCGACGAACTATAATTAAGTGGATTCCAATTATCCATCAAACGTGTCAGGAACTTATTTTCATAGATTCAAAAACTAGACTGTGTGAGTTACATAATATGAGCCCAAACATACTAACAATACTTTAGTAAATTAAAACTATTCTGTTATTTGATAAAGAATACAGGTAGGGTTAGTTCTAATATTATGTGGGGAAACATAATATTAGAACTATGGGGAGGTGCGCCGGCGCACGTCAGTACATATGTACTACTAAACCAACATGCAATTTAAAGAAGAAACTGATGTACATGTAGCTAAATGGTGCATTGTTTGGCTCACAACAAACGGGCTGTGGGTTCAATTACGAATGGGTAGAACAGGAACTATACAAATCCCCGTTAAGTGTAAATTCATCTTTCTGTTTCGAAGTTAGGTCTGTGGCTCTAATATAAAGAAGGGATAGAAGTCTTTTCGACATTATAAAGACTATTTTACTGGGAATCCTCGCATTTCGTAAGGCGTCTGTGATAAATTCTAGAGTTTAAGGAGGAAACTATTTTAATATCGGTCGTTTTGTATGGTAACACTGCTTCCCCTTCACCTCACTTCACATTACTCAAGCCGGAGGGAACTGAAGCAATTTCCGCAAGTACAAATTAGTGGACGAGAAATAAAATTCGCTTTAGAAAACATTTTGTAACGGAATTAGTTTTAAACTTAATTTATAACGTTTCATTCAGCATTGCGAGAAATAAAATACATTTTAATTTAGGAGTGGAGCTAGAGAACAGGGAATAATTCAACGAGTTTCAAAGAAAGAGTAATTTCTTTAATAATTTGAGTGTATGAAAAATGTCTGCGTCAGATGTCGTGAACTGGCTTTATAACTGTTTACACCTGGAATTTAATATACCGTCTGTCAATACCTAATATTAAACCTGCTTAAGGCGCGTTAGAAGAATGCTTTAGCGTATTATTAATTTGTGTCGTGGAAGGTCTATATAGTAGTCATATAGTTAGTATTTTTATAAATACTATTATTTTTTTATTATAACTTATCGATAGATATAATAAAAAAACAATATTACACACACACTGATGTACCTCTACGATGTTTATCAAAGTACATATGTGTTATTTGCAAAAAGGTTTTCAAAATCGTATTTCCATTAAATATTTTTATTTAGCCCGGAATGGCATTTTTAGCGTAGAGCATTTATTTTATCTCAAAAATCCGAATAATCCCTTGAGCTACGATCTAAATGGTAATCACCTTTCTCGATTTACTTCCATTAGGAAGTTCATTATCTACCTTTAATCCATTTCGATACCGTCTGGTAATGAAAAATATCTAATACTAGCGAAGCCCGCGACGTTTGCGTAGAATAGTTATTTTATCGTATTAATTATTTCTACGAAATTAAAATTTAAAATATTTGTAAAGGTTTACGAAACGGAAACATTTACAAGTATTTCAATATTTCTCTGTGTTTCTTCGCTCTTCTTCTTCTTTTATAGTCTAGCCTTCCTTGATAAATCTAACCAACACAAAATATTTTTTTTTATTCGAACCAGTAGTTCCTGAGATTAGCGCGTTTAAACAAACAAGCAAATTTTTTCAGTGTAATAGGAATTTCAAACGACAGTGTCGTTGAAAAGTAACACTAAAAATACAATACAATAACTATTCAGGGTAAACTTAAGTATAACAATAAATTTATAAACAGTACTAAATTACATATAATATTGCTTATAATAATCATAGGTATTTGTGTATTAATTAAATTAGTTTGTTGCAGTCATTTTGAAGTTATGAAACAAAAGAAAGGACACGAAAGCGACAACTTTTAATATTTGCGCCAATTTGTAGTTAAGGAATTGTAAACTGTGGGGAATAATTTTCACTTCGTTCTCATGTCAACAGAAATATCGTTAACAGCACATGCTTAATAAAAATATGTTACATACGTAATGAAATTGCAGGTTTTAGTGACGAAACCGGATTTCTACAATGAAGAGACGAGGAAGAACTTATTCTGCACCTTATCCGAATTAATATCGCTGAATATAGTGCCAATTGTGAATACCAACGACGCAGTCAGCCCGCCGATGTATATCCACGATGACACAGTGGTACCTGGAACCGGGAAAAAGGTATGTTTTGATTGGTCTCTTCATAGAAATTGCAGACAAAGTAAAAACGGTCTGCAAAATTAACTTCTCCTGTTTGAAGCAGGGGTTAGATAAAATACTGTCTATAGTTTACGCGATATATTAGTTAAACTTATTTGAAAATGATTTTTAACATCGGCCCGACGTTTCGGATGCTTTGCAGTTTTAAACCGTTAAAGTGTTTTATTTAAAAGGGGTTAGATAAATTTGTCTAACAACCGATCAGTCAGATGGAGAGGATCTGTTCTGATCATCCGTACGAATTAAAATGAAACATTGTTAAGACAAACTCAAAACAAAATTTCTTCAAACATTTTCTCTTATTTTAACAAAACACTTTAACGATTTGAAACGCGATAAATATTAGTTAAATTTATTTGAAAATTATTTTAACTACGGCCCGACGTTTATGGCCCAAATACTAACTTCTACGGAACAGATGGTGCTAGGGAAGCAGTTTTTACTTTGCGATCACAGACACTCTTCATCTTTAGTCTCCCCGTGACCACGACTGCTACAGAGCATCTAAAATGTAGGGCCGTAGTTAAATATATAACGTGTTTTAAATCATTAAAGTATTTTATTTAAATATGTACTACTCGCGTAAACTACGGACAGTATTTATTTTCTCTTATTCAATCTTAAGACTTTGAGATAATTCCCTTACGCAAATGTAATTATTTATTTAGCGTACTCAATAAATAAACAGGAATAGTGGATGGAGCGTTGCAACTTCTTGGGATCAACATTCAATAATCCAATATATATTATCTTACGCGGAACTTAGCTATCGCATTAAGTTCAAGGATATTCTTTATGTTGATAAAATTGATAACCAAAGCTACATAATAGCTTGTTATCAAAACATTTTGTTAATGATAGAGGAGGACATACAATCACGGGGTTCACTTGAAGGTAGGTTCACATGGGCGCTGTCGACCCATTTGGGCTTGGAATATTCGCAAATTCGCAGACGGCAACCGAAACGCGATTAAGCTTCACGGCTTACAGTGACAGTGGTTCGTGACTCAGACGGAATTTCCATATTCTTCCTACCCATTAAATATCCAGATTTCCAGGCGACATTCGACATGTTTCAGAAAAATCAGTTGGGCCCCATGGTGATCGAACCAACGAGCCCATCTAACATTCAATCAACAAATTCTTCATAAGATCTAGAATAAAACTACGAGGGCGAACAGCTTTATATTAATTTCGAAAATATTACTGTAAAGATAACCTTTGTCTGATATCAATTAATGATTGTTCATATCTCTCGTTAACTAAATAAATAAAACGTTGGGCGCTAACAATGATTCGACCTTTGTCGTATGTTTGACAAACAATAATATTTTGATATAATATTTTGAGATCGATCCAACTTAAGTGAAAGACAATCGCCTAATTTTCATCTATGTTTAATTCCATAAGTGTTTTAATAATTCTTCCTTCGCATAAACTAAGCAACTTGTTTATTTTGTTATTAATATAAATAATATCCCCTATGGTCTGATTTGATATTAGAAGGTTTAAATGAAAAATTACTTACTGCTAGTTTTTTTATATTCATCTTTTTTCCTCCTATTTTTTTATTCATTATAACGGAAACAAAAACATAAATTGAAATAACGCTTTAAAAGAGAAAATGTATTAGTTTAACTTATTTACAATATATTTTAACTACGACCTGACACTCCAGATGCTTTGTAGAAGCCCTGGTCACGGAGGACTGTAAAAGAGTCTCTAATGTCAAATTAAAAACTGTTGCGCTACCGCCATCTGTTCCGTCCTAGTTGGTATTTGGCGAATCTGGTTGGGTCCTTGCAAATCTGACTCACATACATTTCGCGTTTTAAGCCGTTTAAAGTCTTTAATTTGAATGAATACTAGTCGCGTGAACCGAAGACACAAATTATATTGCACCAAAAAGGCATGCATGCATAAAAAGACAGTCGTCGTATCTGATAGTACGTACAAGATTTTATCGATCTTTTAAAATAAATTCCCAATTTACATAAATCCCATAAAGAAATAAAAGTTTCATTAGAGTGATAAAAATAATTATTATACTTAAAGTTAGCAGTTAGCGATCTCTTCCAGTCATCTTCAATCAAGCCAGAATCTAATGCAACACCGATTCAAACCCAGACGAAATTAAATCTAACATGCAAATCTAAAACAAGTTTCTTAGTTGTAATGCCCTGTGTAAAATGAAGGTTTACTGTTACGACAAGATGCTTTTCCCCGTTATGACGCCATTCGAGCGTTATGCTAAACCCTAATGGACACTCAAGCAGCTTCTAGACGCCCTAAAGACTCCTCAATGTAGGATTTTATCATTGCCACTGCTGTAATGTGAAATATTAAGCACTTAGATACAGTAGTAGAGATTTTAAGATACGTGTTCACACTGCAAACGATATTTAGTTATATTTGACGCCCGTTTTTACCTATTTCTGATTTCTTTCTTGAGGCCCCTATCGCCTATCGATAATAGTTTTCAACGAATACATGAAGATGGCGTTGTCCGCAACAGGACCACTGGAGCCTTTATTGTTATTTTTAATTTATGTGTTTAATTATGCCATTGCAGTAATACAAAAAGTAGCTAAATTTATTACAGACATAAAATTAAGACTTGTGCCGCAAATGTGCAACAACATCTCTTAGGTTTAATCAGTAACATTTTTCAGGGCATCGGTATAAAAGACAACGACAGTCTATCAGCTCTTTTAGCGGCTGAGATACAGTCAGATCTTCTCATCATGATGTCAGATGTAGATGGTATCTACAACAAGCCACCATGGGAGGATGGTGCAAGAATGATGCATACGTATACCTCTAAAGACAGAGATCAAGTGCAATTCGGACAAAAATCTAAGGTAAACCATAATATATCTTCTACAAGTAGAGAGTATCTTTAACGACTAGAAAAGAGAAGAAGAGTTATTTATAAATAGCAAGGAATTCAAATTTAAAGGAATAAAGGAATAAACCTACACAAACTTTATTATAACACTGAAATAAAAAAATATCCGACTCTTGACGCATGAATCAAAAATAAATAGATAAAACATTCACTGTCTTTGAACAACATTATTTCCTTTCTATTTGTGCCTATTGGTTGCCTTTAAAGATAAAGTTTTGAATATGGAACTTAAAAGCTATTAAATACATTTTTTATAAATGAGCCTGCTAGACACCTTATAACAAAATACATAATTTTTACTAAGAAGAAAAATTTATTTAAGGACGAAAATAATTTTTACTATTATTGTATGTAATGAATCTTTGTATATGAACATTTTTACACTATGAATATATAAATACCTCAAGTTATAAAATTGCAGTTAGTAGTATTTATTCATAAAATGAAGCACTGTAAACTAAAGTATGAATGCAGGTTGGCACTGGAGGTATGGATTCCAAAGTAAACGCAGCGACATGGGCGATGGCGCGCGGAGTCAGTGTCGTTATTTGCAACGGAATGCAAGAGAAAGCAATTAAAACTATCATCAGCGGTCGCAAAGTCGGCACATTCTTCACGGACTGTCCCACTACGTCAACTACGTCGGTGGATGTTTTGGCTGAGAACGGTAAACATCATTTGTATGAAAAACAGAATTCTTAATTTTGGAAAAATAAACTTTTACCTACTGCTTGCCTTATTAAAAAAAGGTGACTCTTCCTAGTTAGTAGGAAGTTTTAGATAGTAATATTTGATCAGACTGTATTCGCCAGGTTTTATTCCCTGTAAAGACTTTGAATAATAAGATCATTTTTATATCTTCTTTAAAGGTAAAAGAGTATTTTTTAGATAACTCTAAAATGATAGTTAATATGCCTCACAATAAAGTTACCGACTAATAAAAAATAATAATTAAAAGCTAATACATACATACGCCAAACACATATCACATAAGGTCTTTATTGCTTAATTTACTGAATTAAGTATTTCGAATGATTCATAAGTTCAGTATTGTTTTTTCTACTTCTTATTAATATTGTTATTTTTCAGCTCGTTCTGGAAGTCGAGTCTTACAACAGCTAACTCCCGCCGAAAGAGCATCTGCTATACATTCACTAGCCGATCTGCTTCTTGAAAAGAAGGACGTGATTCTAGAAGCCAATTCGAAAGATCTAGAAGAAGCAACTAAAGGTGGTTTAGCAAAACCTCTCTTGGATAGATTAGCCCTCAGCCCGGGAAAACTAAAAACTTTATCAATAGGCCTGAAACAGATCGCCGATTCAAGTTACGAAAACGTCGGGCGGTTGATACGGAAGACAAAACTAGCAGAAAACCTGATCCTTCGTCAGGTGACAGTACCAATTGGTGTGCTGCTAGTAATTTTCGAATCCCGACCAGATTCTTTACCCCAAGTTGCAGCCTTAGCAATGGCATCCGCGAACGGCCTTCTACTGAAAGGTGGAAAAGAGGCTGCACAATCCAACAAAACACTCATGGACTTAGTAAAGGAGGCTCTGCAATCAGTCGGAGCTCAAGATGCGATATCTCTAGTCTCTACCCGGGAGGAAATAAGCGATCTACTCGCCATGGAGAAACACATAGACCTGATAATACCTCGCGGATCATCGGATTTAGTCCGCAATATTCAGAAGCAGTCGCAACATATCCCGGTCCTGGGTCACGCGGAGGGGATATGCCATGTCTATTTGGACAAGGACGCGGATCCATCAAAGGCTGTTAAGATAATCCGCGATTCGAAATGCGATTATCCGGCGGCGTGCAACGCTATGGAGACCCTACTGATCCACGAAGATCACCTATCTAGCAGCTTGTTTACGGATATATGCAGCATGTTGAAAAACGAGGGCGTCAAAATACATGCCGGACCGAAATTATCGAGTCATTTGACTTTCGGACCGCCGCCGGCGCGGAGTATGAGGCACGAGTACAGTGCTTTGGAATGCTGCCTCGAAGTTGTGAGTGACATGGATGAGGCGATTGATCATATTCATAAGTTCGGAAGCTCGCATACTGATGTTATCGTTACGGAGAATGGTGAGCCGAATAATTTAACATGTACACATAAGCTCTAGTAGATGACTATTATTTTCTTCTGGGGACTTTGTTGAATTTTGTTAATTATTTTTTATTTTGTTTTAAGTGAAGTTTCCTTTGTTTTCAAATTATAAGAGACAAAGTATATTCAAAAAGTAAATAGCCTGTACTGTTCTTTTACTTAATCTGTTAAAGAAAACTGCATGACAATTATGCATACATTTACATAAGATTAAAACGCGACAAAATTACTAAAATACTTAAAGTATAAAACGCGATATAAATAGTTAAACGCGTACAACGGCTGCGAACAGTATAAAACATTATCAGTTTTAAACCTTCAAAGTTTTGAAAAGTGTACTATGATAAACTACAGAAGATAATGATTTATTATTGATCGAAAATTGTATATTATTTATATTTAAATACATAACATACTCATACAAGTGCGGAAAATGTGTTCTGTCTCCATTTAAAAAAAGTAAACGATTCATTTATTTAATAAACTCTATTACGGTTGCAGAAAATACAGCGAAGAAGTTCCTAAATACGGTGGACAGTGCTTGCGTTTTCCACAACGTATCGTCACGATTTGCTGATGGCTACCGATTCGGTCTTGGCGCTGAAGTCGGTATTTCAACAGCAAGAATACACGCTCGTGGTAAGTTTAAAATTTATTTGTCTAAATTGGAAGCTACCTCTTATAAATTGCCTTTAGCCAGAGCTGGAACGAAATATGATATTCAAATGTCTCCGTAGCTCAACGATTAAGTGTGTTGGCAAAAATTGCGTTAAGCGAATCGAAAGGTTCGAATTCCGGAAAAACAATAAATTGTTTCATGACCAGCGGCACAGATTCGCTTAACTACTTGCCTTTAAACAACATCGATCAGTGATACGGACACAAAAATATGGACGAAAGAAGATTCATTTTTTTAAATGTGCGTATAAAAACATTTGTAGACGACACATGCTATCATTGTTTCCTAATGATTTTCTTTATAATTAGTGTTTGAATAATCATAAACCAGGTACAACAACAACGCAGGTCTCAGTAATAAAAAATGTTATAATTAGAGCAGATAAAATTGGTGAACGTTCTAAAAAGCTCCTTTCGAATTTTTTATCGTACGTATTAGGAATATTTTGTTTCCTTCACCCTCGCTAACGAAGAAAAAAAAATGCCAACACCGCTGTCGATCGATACAAAAGATAAAATTTCAAGTTCCATTCCAAAGTGTTTTTCATTAAACTTTAAAAATAGTACTTTCATTGTATCACCGCGGGGACGACCCGAGGCGCTGGAAAAATGTCTTGATTTCGCGTTATTTTTACTTAGAACCTTCAATACCTTCTAAATTAAACTTGAATATTCTGAGAGCTAAAATTAGATTATTTATCAACACGAGTGAATGTTTTGTTATAACTACTAATGTGTTCATTATAATTTAGAAATTTTCGCCAACTTGTAAAATACAAATTATTATTTCTTTACCAATAAATAACATATTTGTTTAATGTCTCAACCCTGATTATAGAACCCAGATTACTTTTACATTCATCAGATGCGTCGAATCAATACCGTCGAATAATAGTTGAAATATATTGTTAATAAGTTAACGAATATATTTCACGATTAAAACCGTTAATTTTTTTTTATGTTTATTTACTACTCGCGGAAACTGCAGACAGTACTTGATATAAAATTTACCGATCTATTCAAATGACAAAGAAATATGTTTTTCTTATGTACATGAGTATAAGGCCCCTAAGCCATATTAATCAGGTACTTTTATGGTAATAGCCTTACATGAACGTAATGTAAATATACTTTTCTTTGTATGCAGAGATTAACGAAGCCTGCGTTAGTTATTAGCGCAACAAACTTGCTTTATAGTGTTTAATAGTCTGTAAGTGAAAACACTTTTCCCTACGTGTCTTTGTTAGATTTCTGCGTCCGTTTCTTTATTATTAAGACGGAAAAATAATGTTAAATTCAATAATTCATTTAATACCAAAAATTAGGCTTAGCCGACAAAGGCGCGTCATCGTGCGTATTTGCCAGTTCCCGAGCTAGTGCTGGGGCGCGCGCGTTAATCGCGTCGGACTAGTGCTGTGTCGTTCTCGCTAAGTCGTAGGATTATTCATATTACTATTAAATTTCTATATAAAGACGATTTTCTCACGATAAGAACCCGGGAACTTCTCCTGTATAAGGCAAACATTTCAAAACGCAAGATGACAAAGATGTTTCGATTATTTTTTTATGTTTCAGGTCCTGTGGGTGTTGAGGGCCTTCTGACTACAAAATGGGTTCTAGAAGGTTCCGACCACACAGCAGCTGAGTTCAACGAAGGGAAACGCCAGTGGCTTCATGAAAAACTGCCTATAAATTGACTGGGCTTCTTGCATAAGTTACTGAAATTTATATATGGATATAAATACTTGTAAATTGCACTAATACTATTGTAACCGATTGGCAATAATTATTAGGCACACTTTTCAACTACAACCATACTTATACTATAGAGCGTAAAATTGCATATAATGGTTATAGCTATAATTATAAATATTTTTGTAGGTAGGCAAAAACATATGAATTACTATAGAAATTACCTTATAATCGTAAATATTTAATAAATAATTTACTGTAGATGTTTATTATCTAAACTTTAAGTATTTGTAAGCATCTTGGATTTTCTAAAAGCTTCTATGCCATCTTCTTCCATCAATTCAGTTAGGTAAGCGATGATCGTTACATTCTATTTTTACAGCTATCGATGCCCACAAATTATATTAAATTTGTACTTACATGTTCAGATGTTTTTACAATTATATACATTATTTATATTTTTATATCGTAATAAAGCATTAAAATATTAGTTTTTTTTATTGTGACTTGTGATTATTTTTTCTAATAGAAGTACGGGTTTGAAAGCTAGACCCACCATGCTACTTTGGTATTACTCTTACTAACACTTCCGAAATCCTAATAATTAACAGAATTACTTGACTCGGGATTTGAACCCTGGACCTGGATCAGTATATAAATGTGTTCGTAATTGTATAAATTGGTATTGAAATTTAAGTTGTAGCCCGGCGTTAAATTAATTCTGAAAAGCTCGGAGATTCATGATTCAATTCAATTGCGACTGAATACGTGATTATTACAACACAATCGTAGATTTGAATGTAACAGCGTGAAAATACCTTAAAGAGTATGAATGATTATATATAGTAGAAGTTTGGTGGTTTAGTTTTTGTGTACCAGACTTATATGTATCGCCTTATTTTTTATGATTTTAGCATCGGATATACAGAAATCCGCATAATATTCATACATTGCATATAGCGAACGAAAAATTGACCTGTAATTACGAAAAAATTACTTTATATTCTCAATTTTATATCGTTCAAAGTATTATTTCATTGAGTTTATGATAAATTAATAAGGCGTAGTTTGCATTGAGGATACAAAACGCGCGCATCTATCCAATTGGATTCGCTTTTTTTAGAATATATATTTTTTAATTTCTTCTTTTTGTTTTTTCAGTCGACTCCATTTAGCAATAAGGAATCTCTAATCAAAACGTAATATAAATCTGCATCGCTGTGTCTGTGCGCTTCTTACAAGGTTGCGTTCGAATCGTTGCGCGTCTCCTGCGCGTTTGAAAAACGCCACCTGCCGTGGGCTTTATACATACACCTATTAATGTTACCTAAGTAAAGGCACTATTCGGTATTAATTATGAAACCAATTTAGGTGCCAATTACACAGAAGTCTGGGTAAATTGCAGCGGAGACTAATCTACGTTTCTAGTTCTAAGTTGTAACCGATGTTCTATCTATGTGGCGTGTAATCGGAATGCAATTAGTGGTTTGTCGTTGAGCGCTGTTCTTGCCTGAAGTGCGGTAAGATTGTAAATTAGGTACGAGTAAGGTTCCATAAGTCATCTAAAAAGTTTGATGTGGCCTGTACTTGGTAAGGGTTTGAAACCTGGATGAAAGATAGAAAGAAGAAATAAATAAATACATTTATTTATTACCATAAGCTATAAAAAAATATATAAGACCTAAATAAGTTTAACTAATATATCGCGTTTTAAACCGTTAAAGTGTTTTATTTAAATGGGTACTACTCGCGTAAACTATAGACAGTATTTAAGACCTTTTCTATTCTAACTTCATCATAACAGTATAACAATAATGACCGCTGTACGTTCGTAGAATAAAGTCTAACTCAGCTTAGGTCCTGTGTTGAACTGAAACTGATTTTCAGTAAGTTCATAGAGTGTACAGTGGTGCCATACAAAAATGTTTGTAAAAAAAACAAAGTAAATTTTGCAGAAAAAAGGACAAGACAAGTTGCATATATGAATATTTTGTTCCATTCTTCCTAAGACTCAGATGAGCCCATCTTTGTTAACGACGTTAGGCGTGTCCGATATAACGAAGAGCTATACAATTATTTAGTCCAAACTAAGTTACAAAAGTCATAAATGCAAGATGATAATGGATAAAAGAACCAAGGTCCTTGCTAAACTGTCAAAGAGGAGGTAAACCAAAGCCCTGGTGATTGAGGCTCCACTGGTGGGATGCAGTTGCAGAACCTGGAAATCTTGGGAGACCAGAACTAAACAAAAAGCGCAGAATTCTTGGAACTTAGGCGGCCAAAGAGGAAGGGGTCAAAAATAGTTTTAGAATAGTGACAAAAGGTATCGTGAATTTTATATCACGTTTTGCGCATACCCCCACCATAAATACGTCGATTCAATACTGTCAATATCTTCCGACATGAGGATTGACGCTAATCGCGCCATTAGCGACGGCGCGAATGTGTCCCTGCTGAGGACATTCTCAACTAAGTCACTTTGTGTGCCTCTCTAGGTTTTTTTCTAATTTAATAGCTTATATAAAATTGATTTGCTTTAATATTACAAACATACAAAGCCCTATGGTTATAATTCTTACGTTGAATACTTGCCCGTTACCCACCCCACGTGTTGCCAAGCATAACGTGAAGCGCGCAGGTCCTGGTTTCAAATCCCGAAACAACCTTTCATTGTTTCGGTCGGGCAGAGCACAGAGGTAGATAGAGGTAGGTCTGATCAACTTCTTGCCTTTAAAGGAAAGTGATCACTGAAATGGACATAGAAACATGTTTGCCCATGCCCTACGAGGGGTAATGATTTTAGAATGATTGATGAAACCAGGATTTCACTTACTTTATACACATAGCGAAATATACTCCCCGTTACATACCGCGAGATATGCTTTCCGTTTATGTCGCTATGTAACCACGAGTTAACAACAAAGAAGGAATATAATATAAATGGAATACTTTTAACAGTTTAAAACGTAAATTGTATTGGTTGACTGGAACGTCTACTGCTGCAAAGCATTCTACACTTACTGCCGTAGTAAAAATAAGTTAACTATTATTTTTTTACGTTTTAAACCGTTGAGTGTTTTATTTCAACGTGTAGTAGTCGCTTTAACTACAGACTATACTTAAGGTATATATGTTCTTAAATCCAAGTTAAGTACTGTCTGTAGTTTACGTGAGTAGTACACATTTAAATAAAATACTTTAACGGTTTAATATACCGCGCTTTAATCCGTTACAGTGTTTTATTTAAATGGATTCAAAAATGTTAGATATTTTATCACAAACTAATAAGTACTTACATTTACAACGAAATAAAAGTGACGTTAAATAGTGTCAATACATTTCAACGATAAATGTTCAAGAGCATTAAGAACTTATGTCGCAGCGACCATAAATCGTAATCATCTAGAATCTGCTCACTGAAATAAACGGATTTTCAATTGTTTCAGTTTTCAGTTCGCAAAACGTTGTGCCGAGTAAGAAATATATACGACGTGTTCCGGAAGAGTTTGCAAATGTATATATAAAGCGCTTTTGTTCTTGACAATGATATTTTAACATGTAAGTATATCAAGCGAAGATCTATTATGTACTGAAGATGGTAAAAAAATATTTCAAGAATAAGGGATTGTGGTCCTTTGTGTTTGACTTTGTGATTTGAGTGACAACTTATTCTATACCACAAGTGACACTTTTAACATGGTATTGGCCTAACTATAGATGTAATGTACAAGTGAAATTTGTTTAAGCAATTTGTAGTAGTTAGTACGCAAGCGACAAGTTTAGTTTTAGACTGTTATTTTACTAAACTTTTTTTCACTAAAAAATCTACTACAATTGTGACATTTAACAATAAATAAGGTAATTAATTTAAATCAAACACTTTTAACGGTTTAAAACGTTCAATATCTTAGTAAACTTATTAACAATTTACTCGTAATTTACTTCGGCTACTGGAAAGCATTCGGATTGTACCTAATATGTTTATCGTTATAAATCTTTAAAATAGTGTTTTATTTACCTTATTTATTGATAACTCTTTGAAGTGGCGGTTACATAGGACAAGTTTATCTTGTTATGTATATAAAGAAAGTTATATCCCGTTTTCCCCCGAGGGCATGCCTCAAACATATTTCTGTGTCTGAATGGCAAAAGATATATTAGAAGCCAAAAATACCTAATCCGCGGCCAAAAACACATGCATAGCTTGTAGCATATAATGAAAGCCTCTCCTTTCAGATTTGAGTAAAGCTCTATTTCAAGTCCTCGATTCGATATCAAGAAGTCTTACAAGCCACTATTCACATATAATTGACCATGAATAAGCCTTAACCCGCTACGTTTAAACGGAATAAAATTTCCAATTGCCTGCTAAAACTCCGAATCGAATCCTGGAAAGATAAGACAGCCGTTAACTCTCGATTTTATGTTACCCGCGGTGCTGTTCCACTGATTTTTATTTCCTTAACAGTTCACTTGGCTTCACGTGCTATGTTTACTTGGCTTCTGTTGCTTCGTTTTGAGTGCACGTTAGTTATTTTATCGGAATATTTTTACTAGCCATTATTGACGTTTCACTCTACGTAAATATTTATTCGTCTGCCTCTTGAAAGCTTTTATATTGATAAACATTTTTCTCAGTTATTTTAACGGATTTGAAATTCAATTTTACGTTTTGCGGTCGACTTTGTTTATTCATCTGGTTAATGCCTCTTAAACTGAGCTGTAGTGTTTAGTTTGGATTTTTTAAAAATAAATAAAAAAGACCCCATAACTTATATTAACAATTTTTTTTAAGCGAAGCGAAGAATAATTTAATATTTTTTTGTATATGTATTTGTAAAGTTTTGTCTTTAGTTTAATTGAGTAAATATTGTCTGTGGTTTATGCGAGTAGTAACATTTAAACAAAACACTTCAACTGTAAACTAGTTAAACTTATATTTACTATTTCGAAGCGGCAGACTGATGATTTATATACCTTTAAACCGTTTAAAATAAAAGTTTTT